TTTATCACGGCTCATTCAATCAATAAACCACAGGGCTGAGATTTTAATTCAGACTTTCTGGTTTGTATAAGTTTAGTAACCTTTCTGACATACCATGTTGGTTTTCTCCATAAGATCAAATTAAAGGCAAGAAGCATCTGGTTCTGTTCCACCAGAAGTGTCCAATACCTACCTGGAGAATCTTTTCCAAACTTCCTCCTGAGTGTCACTCTCACCCTATTCCTATTAACTCCTAAGTTTCTCTCATTAATAGATTCAAATTCAAGTCTTATCAAATTGTCAATCCTTGGTCCCAATCCAGCATCCTCCTTCTTTACTTTATTTGAAAAGTTGTAGATACAGAGTACATGCTTAATTTTGACAAGTTAACTTCCCAGAAGAGATGGATTATGAATGGTAATAATTTTTTTAAAGCTTAGAGAGAAAGCCTTGTCAATTCACTTCCAGAAAAATCAGCAAAAAACAAATCCCAATGGAGCACAATTCTACCATAACACACCCAAAATCACTGGGTCAGAATTCATGCAGTGCCAACTGGTATAATTAACAAACAAACAAACGAGAGGAAATAGATTTAGATAAACAGAAACAAACAAGCAAAAATACTATGTAATCTGGATAATAAATCATAATTTGAAACTGGCAGATTGTGGGGAAAAGACAAATTTCAATGTCCCTTCAACAAAGGTTTTCTCTTTCTCAGCCCTCTGCTGCTGTCATTTTTATGTATCAGTTGAAGGAGACGTTTCCGGTCTGTCCTCCAGTTCACTGTAAATTGGAGCATAGACATTTAATTCTTCATAAAGACGATCCTCTGGAACCTGACAAAGGATAAAAATTAATTCAATGTCAATCAAGAATTTTGAAAGACATGTTTCCAGGGATTATCTCATGTCTTTCTCTGTCTCTCCTCTCTCTCTCTCTCTCTCTCTCTCTCTCTCTCTCTCTCTCTCTCTCTCCGCCTCATACTTTTCTCCATAGCACACTAATTATTGTCACTGTCTCCAACAAAACAAGTTGACTCAAATAGACCCCAGGGCCACATAGACCAAGATGAAATCATGTCATTTGAACTGCATTTGCTGTCTTGTTTGTCTTTGGAACAAGACTGCAAAAAAAAAAAATGTAGTCAGATTGAATGCTTCAGAAAAGCAGATATATAGAAAATGTGTTTGTGCTTCATTTGGCATATTTTAGTAAGTGTTTATGTTTAGAAGCTCAACGGTTAACTGCTGAATGTTCTTGTTGTGTACCATAGAGTTGAAACCGACCCATAGCTGACCCTCCAGTGGGTTTTCAGAGGCAGTTAATTGCACAGGAGGAGGTTGCCCATCCTTGTCCCATAGAGCAGCTGGTGGCCTCGAACCACGTGGATATAGGATTGCAGCACAGGTTCTTGACACTATGCCATCAGAGCTCAACTAAAAATTAAAAGACTATGGAAGGAGTATACAGAGTCACTCTACCAAAAAGAATTGGATGACACAGAAGAATTTCAAGAAAGAACATATAATCAAGAAGCAATGGTGATGAAGGAGGAAGTGCAGGCTGCTCTGAAGGACTTGGCAAAAAATAAAGCCCCAGGAATTGATGGAATACCAATTGACATAGTTCAACAAACAGATGCTGCACTGGATGTGCTCACCAGGTTGTGCCAAGAAATTTGGAGGACAACTACTTGGAACTGACAGGAAGAGATCCGTATTTATTTCCATTCCCAAAAAAGGTGACCCAAAATAATGTGGAAATTATTAAACAATATCATGCACTAGCAAAATCCTGCTGAAGATTATCCAGAAACAACTGGAACAGTACATTGACAGAGAATTACCAGAAATAAAAGCTGGGTTTAGAAGAGGTGTGACACTAGAGACATTATTGCCAATGTTAGATGGATCTTGGCAGAAAGCATAGAGTACCAGAGGAATATATGTGATTCATTGACTATGCAAAGACATTTGACTGTGTGGATCACAACAAATTATAGCTAACCTTGAGGAAAATGAGAATCCTAGAACACTTGATTGTGTTTCTGCGAAACCTACACTTGGACCAGGAAGCAGTTGTCAGAACAGAGCAAGTAAACACTGCATTGTTCAAAATCAGGAGTGTGTCAGGAATACATCCTGCTCCATAAATTTTCCATCTATATGCAGAACAGATAATTCAGGAAGCAGGACTTTATAAGGAGGAAGGTATCATCAGGATTGGAGGAAGACTCATTAACAACCTATGTTGTACAGATGATACAACCTTGCTTCCTGAAACTGAGGAGGACCTGATTTGCTTGCTGCAGAAGGTCAAGGTAGTAATCTTCAATATGGATTGAAGCTCAACATCAAGAAGACAAAGATTTTCACCACTGGGTCAACTGGCAGCACCATGATAGATGGAGAAGAGATTGAGGTTGTTAACAATTATAGCTTGTTTGGCTCCACAATCAACACTCTTGGCACCATCAGTCAGGAAATCAAAAGACAAATTGCAGTGGGAAAATCTGCTGTCATGGACCTCTCCAGAGTACTGAAAAGCAACGATATCAGTCTAGAGACTAAGGTGCACTCTTGATCCAGTCCATGGTCTTTGCAATTACTTGCTATGCATCAGAGAGCTGGAAAATGACTAGGGATGACAGAAAAAAAAATCTTGAACATACTATGAACTTCCAAGAAAACAAATAAGTCTGTCTTTGAGAGGATGAAACCAAGTCTGTCCTTGGAGGCTAGGATTTTGAAGCTCCATCTCACATTCTTCGGGCACGTGACCAGGAGAGACAGGTCCTTGGAGAAGGACATCATGCTTGGAAGAGTAGAGGGACAGCACAGGAGAGGCAGATCCCAGGTGAGATGGATTGATACAGTAACCAGGGCAATGGGAGTAGCTGTGTTGGAATTAGTGAGACTGACTCAGCACATGGTAGGCTTCAGAGCTGCTGTACATAGAGTCGCTGGCAACTTGACGGCACATAACAACCACAACATATGTTTAGAAAGGCACGTGTTTTGTTGTTATGTGCTGTTGAGTAGGAACTGACAGCTAGCTGACCTTTCCGGGGGTTTCAGAGGCTGATAATCACTTGGTAGGAGATTGCCCATCATTTTTGCCTGAGGAGCAGCTGGTGGATTCAAACCGCCCCTTAGGAGCGGCTCAGCACTCCTTACCCACTTGGCCACCATAGCTCTCCTGGGAAGGCTGAGGGTTATTAAAAGAAAAGAAGACCCTCCTTGAGATGAAGTGACACCGTGACTGCCGCAATAGGACTCAAGAACAGCAGAAACTATGAAGATGATTATGAAATGATGGAATAGTTCATGCACAAATACTGTGTGACAGGCTGGAGATTCAGATCCACCCAGAGGTGTCTCAGAATAAAGGCCTCATGATCCACTCCTGAAAAATCTGGTCATTGAAAACACCCTGTAGGTGGGTCGGGTCTATTAAGACACACATGGGTGCCTGTGAATGGAAGTCAGTTTAATGGCAACTGACCTGGCTTGGGTTTTGATTTGTTCATGGGTTAGAGGGGAGGCTTAGGAGAAAATGAGACAGGAATCCACAGGAAGGAGAGAGAGAGAGAGAGAGAGAGAGAGAGAGAGAGAGAAAGTAGGAGTGAGTATAAGGGAGCTGTCCTGAGAAGGACTTAAGTCTCGACGCCCGAGTGGTTCCAACGCTGCCCGCACGCCCATCACTCCTGGGCCGGAGACGTGTGCACTTCCAAAACTATCAAAACTCTAATCTCCTTACCTGACAGTAGGGGCAGGTACTGTGAGGTCTGTGCTACTTGTGGAGGGTAAAACATGGTTAAAAAAATTATATTTGGGAACTAATTACTGAAAGAAACAACTTTCTGGAATAAATGTTCCAGAAAAAAAAGAAAAAGATCAGGCCATGTTTTAAAACTTGAAACATAAATCCTTCACTTCATTAGTATCAGACTTACACATCAGCCCACTACTCACCTTCTCCTTTCTGAGCAGTTCTCCAATCCCGTAGACCGTAAGTGATACAGCACTGCAAAACCCCAAGACGGTGAGGAACAAGAGCATTGCCACGATTTCCTGTGGAAGAATCACCACCGATAGTGAAGGCGAATTAGAAAGTGTAGTGTTACATATGGCAAGAAGCTGCACTACAATCCCTAAGGTTTGTGGTTCGAATCCACCAGCTGCTCCATAGGAGAAGCAAGCTCCTCCCATGCGATTAGCTACCTCTGAAAACCCACTGGTGGGTCAGCTATGGATCGGTTCTGACTCGATGGTACATAAGAACAACAAACAACATGTGTATATTTTAAATAAACTTAACTTGGAGGAATCTGGAAATATTAAATTAGCACTTTGAACACTGAAAGCCACATGGGATCTTGGATGAGACCAGAAAACAGTGCTTTAATACAAAGACCTTTCTTGGTAGAATGGGTAAAGTTGAAATAAATTCCAAAGATTAGACTGTACTATAGAGTTATTGTTGTTGTATGTTGTTGAGCTGCCATCAACCCTTGGCTGTCTGTAAATTGCATGAGAGAAGATTGCCAATCCTTCCTCCTTGGAGCAGCTGGTGGATTCGAACCACAAGCCTTAGGGATTGCAGTGCAGCCTCTTACCACTAGGCCAACAGAGCCCTCTATCTGTAGAGTAAGTATTGTATAGGTAGAGAATGCTAAAGGAAATCTAAAACATTAGTGTTTATGGATCTAGTTGAAAGATCTGTGGGAATTCTTTGTATTATTTTTACCAGCTTTTGGTATGTTTGAGAATATTTCACAAGACAGTGACTAGGGATGATAGAAAGAGAATTGATGCCTTTGAGCTGTGGTGCTGGAGAAGAGTGTTGAATATACCATGGACTGTTGGGAGAACAAACAGGTTTGCCCTGGATAAGGTGAAGCCAGAGTGCTTCTTGGAATCAGGGATTCTGAATTTTTGTCTGACATACTTTGGGCATGTTGCAAGGAGGGACTGGTCCTTGGAGAGGGACATCATGTTTGGGAGAGTGGAGGGACTGTGCAGGAGAGGAAGACCCTTGATGAGATGGATCGATTCTGTGATTGGGGTGGTGGGAGTGAGTGTGTCAGAGACGGCAAGGTTGGCAAAGGATAGAGCAGCAATTAGGGCTCTTGTACACAGGGTCGCTATGAGTCCCAAGTGACTAGATGGGACATAACAACAAAAGAAATATTTAGTGGAAAAACAAAAGATAGATTCCCCCAAAACTATAACTTTATATCAGTCCCTGCTATCATCATTATTCCTTTAATCAGCCCCTATAAAGTAGTACATTCTGGAAAAACCACCCCTGAGAAGCAAACCCACTATCATCAAGTCAAGAGACACTATTATAGAACAGAGCTACCCACGTAGCTTCTAGGGCTGTGATCTTTACAGAGCCAACTGTCACGTCTTTCTCCTGAGGAGCAGCTGGTGCTTTTGAACCACCAACCTTTGGGTCAGCAAGCCAAGTACCACTTGGGAAAACCAGGAGATGGTTATTCAGTGGCCAGCTATGGCAGATAACCTGGAGCTTACCTGGCCGGCCTGCTTCAGGGAGAGAAGCAGTAGCGAGTGTCTACCCAACAGCATGAACCTACAAAATCCATCAGCCTAGTGAGTGGGACTGTGAAAAGCAATTTCCAGGAGAAAGGAAAAGCAAGCTTTTCAGTTACATCAAGATGTGTCATCTTCGTCTCCCTTTGAAACACCTACCGTGGAAAGAGACGCGGAAGCACAGGCCTCGTCATCCACGTCCAGGCATTTGTAGAGCTGAGAGGAGCTCTGCTTTAGATTGATGACCAGGATGATAATTCCTGCCCCCGAAGCTATGCTGCTGATGGAGTTGGCTCCCAGTCGTCCTGGCACCTGAGGATAGAGGAGACCACTCAGACCTGGCCCTGCGCCTACCAGCGTGTTCAATAAAAACACTCATGTTTCAGGGACAAATGCACCCATGCAACTCTCCACTCAAAATATAGGTGAAAATGGATAATGTTTGAAAACGGGCTCATTACTTAATGCTGTTGTTTTTGTGTGTTGCTGTCTAGTTAGAACTGACCCATTGCTGACCCTCCAGCGGGTTTTCAGAGGCAGTAAATCACATGGGAGGAGAATGCCCATCCTTCTCCCATGGAGCAACTGGTGGATATGAACCATGTATAGCTGGGTTTGCAGCACAGCTTCTTACAACCAGGCCACCAGACCTCCCTCACAACTTAGAACATATCAAATATTATCTAAAACTTAATGGATATTTCGGCAGATAGAAAACTTTTCCAAGAACAAATAAATAAAAATGACTATTTATGACAAATCCAAACCTTGACAGAGCAAGAAATGAAAGCAAACCCACAGCTGTTGAGTCAGTCCTGATTCAAAGTGATCTTACAGGAAAGGACAGAACTACCCATAGGGTTTCCAGGTATGAAGATGGCACCGGATTGGACAGGGTTTAGCTTTGTTGTACATAAGGCCATTATCGTTAGGAGTAACTTGATGACATCTAATGACAACAACAATCTTTATCAAAGGAGAGTACCATGTCTTACCCCTGTAGGCAATTGGTAGATTTGAACTTTTGGCCTTCTTTTTCAGCAGCCACATGTTTAACCCCTCCACCACCAGGGCTCCTTCTCTTACAGTAAAGACTTCACTTAAGATCTCATCGTTATAATGTTTACACCAGAAATCTTTCAACTGTCTTTGAAAACTCGGTGCTCAAACTACTCAAACAAGCACCTTGCCATTTTCTGCTCAAGCCACTGTTGTCATCACCTCTCCATATTATCAGTTCCTATAAAACCCAGGAAAGCCAAGAGATGGCTGTCTTGCTGGGTTGCAAATCAAGTGGATATGAGTGGTCTCTCCTTGGATTGTCTCCTTGACAGCAGCAGATGGACATTCACTGGACTGTGAATACCACCAGGATAAGGCAGGTGTCGAGGCGTCTTATAACATTTGCTGAGGCAAAGATACTTTTACTGTCTTGCAGAGGATTAAATAAAATTTCTGTTCTTACTAATTATACTCAATTTCTGTGGCAAAGGCTTCTGACACAAAACATTGCTGTCAAGTGCTGTTAAGAACATCTGACTCATAACTACGCAACATACAGCAGAACAAAATACTTGCTACCGTGTTGCGTGTCATCCTCACTGCTGTGAAAATGATTGAGCCCTTTCCCCCCCTTTTTTTGCTATCACAGTGTGATATGAACCTGGAGAGAGGATGAAAGACACTCAAGCGTTGAGAACTCTCCATCATAGGGTCGCTAGGAGTCGCCTGCAACTCGATGGCACTTAACAACAACAACATCACAGTGTCTATGGACTAAAAGAAAAAGAATGTGCAACCATAGTTAGTAATATTATTTAAAAAAAAAAAGTCCAGCCATCCAGTTGGAGCTGACTCAAGCTGACCCTCCGGTGGCTTTTCTGAGGCTGTAAATAGCAAGGGAGGGGAGCGTCCATATTTCCCCTGTGGACTCGCCTCAGCTGCAGTTCCATCCCGACTCCCTGTTGGTTACGCCACCGTATGAAAACCCTTTGCTAGAAAAAACACCCTAAACCCAAAACACAATACAAAAACATCCTCCATTTTTTTTTTCTTACCTTCTCACTGATTGGCAAAGAATGGCAACTCACCAGATAGGCTTCATTTCTCCGTTCACACATAACTGACAAAACTCCAGAAATAGCAAACTGTCCAAAAGGGAGAGAAAGAAGGTACAGTGAATTTCTGTTCTTCTCTATACCAACTTCGCTCTTGTCTTCTTCTAATTATTAGAGAAAATTTGAAAGTCTCCATAAAGATATCTATTTCTTCCCCACAGGGAGCCTAACATTCCTTATGATTATTTTCTAGAGAGTGTTTCCCCCAAACTAAATGTTCACACCAGGCACCTGGAATTCTTGTTAGACTACAGAGCTTCTTAAAAGAAATAAAGAGTTTCCTTTCTTCTCTTGATGAGAATATACACAGCAAAACATATATACCAATTCGACAGTTTCAACACTCAAGTTCAATGGCTTTGGTTGAGTTCTTTGAGTTGTACAATCATTCTCATCCTCTTGATGGGGCCTGTGGCTCTCAATTCCTCCCAGGCTCCACACAGGAATCACTCTCAAAGTAGCAAAGTCCTGCAGAATGCAGAGCACGATTCCAACTCTACTCTCACTTCATTGTAATACTTGGTTTGTACGTAAACTGTCATCTCTTCTGGGCAAGAATGATGTGTTCTGGACACGTCTATATTCATTGTTATATGCGAAACACAAACCATTTGAGTGGATTCTGGCTGTTGTGTCAAGAAAGGGGGAAAAATTCATCTGCATGCTTGAGATTCTGAAAAGCTGCTATGTTTGTCAGAGAAGGGCTGTGTACATAGGTTCTTCAATGACTGTTGCCTTTTGAAAGTAGACCACTAAGACTTTCGTGCAAGGTACCTCTATTGTTAGATGCCGTTGAGTAGAGCTCAACTCATAGCAAGCCTATGAAGAACAGATCTGAGCCCTGTCCTATCCTGGGCCTTCCTTATCATTTCTGGCATAGTTGAGCCCATTGCTGCAGTCACTGTGTCCCATCTGGTTGAGGGTCTGCCTCTCTTTCACCAACCCTCCACCTTTACAAGGATGTAGCATTCAAAATGTCATTCCTAGTCAATGACCAACCATTTATTTTGTGCTGAATTACTTATTGTATTGAGGAGAGAGGATTAGATACGAGAGGATTAGAGAGGTGGGATACCAGCTTCCTCCTTCCAGAGGCTTAAATAAACTCATGGGGCATCAATGCTAGCTCCCTCTTTTGGGCGTGTCTGCCTTTCCAGCTACACTGCAACTGACAGTCTACCATGCTCACCAGTCTCTGCAAAACCAGACTGAATATCTACAGTCACCTGAGTCATTCCCCTGATGACTTTGAGTCTCTGGGAGATCTAGTGAACCTCTGAATCCAAGGGACATAGAGGAATGAGGGAATTAAACAAAGGATGGACTGTTGGTGTAGGAAAAAATCAATAGAATACCACAAATCAGGACTTAGTGACAATGTTGACTCAGTACTTCCTTCTTATAAATGGTATACTACTAGTATTAACAATGGCATCAGCCTGGAGACTAAGATGCACCTGATACAGTCTTCATAATTACTTACTATACATCAGAAAACTGGACAATGACTAAGGATGATAGAAAGAGAATTGATACCTTTGAGTTACGGTGCTGGAGGAGAGTATTGAATATGCCATGGACTACTAGGAGGATAAACAGGTTCATCCTGGAGAGGGTGAAACCAGGCTACCCCTTGGGAGCAAGGATTCTGAGGCTTCATCTGACATACTTTGGGCATGTTGCAAGGAAGGACCAGTCCATGGAGAGGGACCTCATGCTTGAAAGCGTAAAGGAACAGCACAAGAGAGGAAGACCCTCGATGAGATGAATTGATTCAGAGACTGGGGTAATGAGGGTAGGTTTGTCAGAGACAAGAAAGTTGGCACAGGATAGAGCAAGTTTCAGGGCTATTGTACATAGAGTCACTATGAGTCACAAGCCACTCGATGGTGCAAAAAACAACTAGTATTAGCTTAGCAGAACAAATTATCAATATATTAACAAATAAGAAGTTATCTCTGGGAAGACTTAAACCCCAAACCTTTCAATTAGCTAATAAGTGTGTTAATTATTCCACCACTTAGAGACTTCATTGTTGTTTCAGAATTGACTCATGCCTGACCCTTTAGCTTCTAAGTTGCATAGGAGGAGATTTCCCAACTTCCTCCTGTGAAGCAGCTGGGGGATTCAAACTATGTGCCTTAGGGTTGGCAGTATCACTTCTACTATGTAGCGCATATTATGTCAAATACCTACATAGTCACAGATTTAGTGAAAAGATAAATCAATAGCCTGAACTCAAAACAAACTCTTAAAGATTCTGGTTGAATGATGAGTTTATGGGCATCTAACTAGTTACGAAACCTGCTACAGAGTCAGTTATAGGTCAGTTCTGACTTAATGGTACACAACAACTAACAAGCTGCATGCTTGACATGAACAGCTAGCAAGAGAAGCATTTCAAATAAAATATGACAAAAGTGCAGGGAGAATCTTGAGTGTGTAATCTGAATACAAAACAGGAAGCAGAGTGCCAGTTTGATGTGATGCTTTCCAAGCTAAACTGCGTCTTCATGAATTAACTGTTGATACAGAAAACATGCTGTGAGAACAGAGCAGGGGAACACTGCATGGTTTGAAATTAAGAAGGCAGTGTGTCAGGGCTGTATTTTCTCTCCATACCTATTTAATCTGTATGCTGAACAAATTATTCGAAAAGCTGGAGTCTACGAAGAGGAATATGGCATCAGGATTGGGGGGAGACTCATCAATAACCTGTGTTATGTAGATGAGACAACCTTGTTTGCTGAAAGTGAGGAGGTCTTGAAGTACTTGCTGCAGAAATCCAAGAAATGCAGCCTTTAGTATGGATTGCATCTCAATCTCAAGAAAACAAAGATTCTTATCTCTGGACCAATAGAAAATATCATGAAAGATGGAGAAGAGAATGAAACTGTCAACAACTTCATCTTACTTGGATTTACGATTAATACCTTAGTACCAGCAGTCAAGAAATAAGTAGATGCATTGCACTGGAGAATCTGCAGTGAAGGACCTTTCCAAATTATTAATGATGTCATTTTGAGGACTACGGGGTGTCTGATTCAGGCCATAGCCTTTCCAATCACTTGTTATGCACCTGACAGCTGGACAATGAATAAGAATGACAGGAGAAGAATGGATGACTTTGTGTTGTAGTGTTGGAGAAGAGTACTGGATATCCCATGGATGGCCAAGAGAACAAATATGTCTTGGAGATGGTGCAGCTGGAGTGCTCTTTGGAGGCAAGAATGACGAGGCTTCGCCTCACACACTTTGGGCATGTTGCTAGGAGGGGCTATTCCTTGGAGAAGAACATGATGCTGGGAAGGGTGATGAGTTGGCGAAGGAGAGGAAGATCCTCGACCAGGTGGATTGATGTGATGACTGCTGCAATGGGCTCTTGTGTGTCAGGAAGTGTGAGGATGGCACAGGATAGAACAGGGTTCAGATATTTTGTTCATAGGGTCATTATGAGTCAAACTTAACTTGATCACATCTAACGACAGCACAAAATATGAGGATTGATTGCAAACTAACTACACAGAGTGAAGAAAGGCATCATTAATGAGATCATGATGTTTAATTTTGTTTATACCAAGTCTCTCCATTTATATAAAAATTTCTACAATGCAAGCTCATATACAATGGCAGAAAACAGAGCAGGGAATAGTTGAGGATACAAAGACAGAAAATAGAAGGAGGAAGGGATTACAAGTAGCCCACGGAAACTGTTAGAAGTGATGGGTATTTCAATTTATAATAATGGGTTCATCCATATGTCAGAGTTTACCAGATCATATACCTAAATATGTATACGTTTCTATGTCAACTATACCTCATAAAATGAGAGATGTTTGTGATTTAAATCAGCCATCTCTTTTTCACCCAGTGTGGCAATTAAAAGAGATGCCATGAAAAGGTACCTGATGTTTCAAGGAGGGACCAGTCCTTGGAGAGGGACGTCATGCTTTAATTGATTCAGTGGCTGGAGTAATGGGGGTGGGTGTGTCAGAGACAGTGAGATTGGCACAGGATAGAGCATGGTTTATGGCTGTTGCCATATTAGGGAACTCTGGTGGCCTAGTGGCAAGAAGCTGCATTGCAATCCAGAAGGCATGTTGTTCAAGGCCCCCAGCTGCTCTGCAGGAGAAGGATGAACAGTCCTTTCCCATGTGATTAACTGCCTCTAAAAACCTGCCAGAGGGTCATTTCCAACTCGATCTGGTCCTGTGCCATCCTCACTCTTCCTGACACACAAGAGCCCGTTACAGCAGTCACCTTGTCAATCCACCTGGTTGAGGGTCTTTCTCTCCTTCGCCGACCCTTGACCCTTCTCAACATCATGTCCCTCTCCAAGAAATAGCCCCTCCTAGCAATATGTCCAAAGTATGTGAGGTGAAGCCTCACCATTGTTGCCTCCAAAGAGCACTCTGGCTGCACCCTCTCCAAGACATATCTGTTTATTCTCTTGGTGGTCCATGGATGTTCAGTGCTCTTCTCCAACACCACAGCTCAAAGGCATCAATTCTTTTTCCATCATCCTGATTCATTGTCCAGGCCTTGGAAAGCCCATGGCCTAAATTAGACACACCTTAGTCCTCAAACTGACATCACAACTCCTCAATAATTTAAAGGTCCCTAAAAGCAGATTTTCCCATTGCAAGGTGTCTCCTTATTTCCTGATTGCTCAAACCAAGGGTGTTAATTGTGGATCCAAGCCAGGTGAAACTGTTGACAGTTTCAATCTCTTCTCCAATCATCATGACACTAACTCTTGGACCAATGGTAAGACTCTTTATTCTTGATATTGAGACACAATCCATACCGAAGGCTGCAGTCCTTGATCTTCTGCAACAAGTGCTTCAAATCCTCCTCACTTTCAGCAAGTAAAACTGTGTCATCTGCATAATGTAGGTAATTGACGAGTCTCCCTCCAATCCTGATGCCACATTTCTCTTCATAGAGTCCAGCTTCTCGGATTTGTCCAGCAAATAGACTGACCAGGTATGGAGATAGAATACATCCCTGATGCACTCCCTTCCCAATTCCAAACTATGCAGTGCTCCCCTGCTCCATTCACACAACAGCCTCCTGATCATCTTAAGAATAGGTTTGAGGCATTGAACACCAATGATAGGAGACCACATGAGTTGTGGGATGATATCAAGGATATCATCCATGAAGAAAGCAAAAGATCATTACAAAAACAGAGGTCATTACAAAACCAAATGGATGTCAGAAGAAACTCTAAAGACCGCACTGGAATGTTGAGAAGCCAAACCTAAAGGAAAACATAACAAAGTGAAAGAGCTGAACAGCCAGTTTCAAAGGGCAGCTCGGGAGGACAAAACAGAAGTACTGTAATGGAATGTGCAGAGAGCTGGAATTGGAGAATAAAAAGGGAAACACTTACTCTGCATTTCTCAAGCTGAAAGATAGATAGATAGATAGATAGATAGATAGATAGATAGATAGATAGATAGATAGATAGATGATAGATAGATATCATATATTCAAAATGTAATCTCAATCTCAGTACTAATGATAAATTTTGGTTAAATCTGGATTAAGCTCGGCTCCACGGTCAACACTCTTGGCACCAGCAGCCAGGAAAAACAAACAAACAAACAAACAAACTAACAACGTACTGCGATGGGAAAGTCTGCTGTTAGGGACCTCTCTAAAGTACTCAAGAGCAACTGTGTCTCTCTGGAGATTAAGGTGTGCCTGATACAGCCCATGGTCTTTGCAATCACTTGTTATGCATCAGAGAGTTGGACAATGACTAGGGAGGATAGGAGGAGAATTGACGCCTTTGAGCTGTGGTGCTGGAGAAGAGTATTGAATGTTCCAAGGACTGCCAAGAAAACAAACAGATCCATCCTGGAGAGGGTTTAAACCAGCCTACTCCTTGGAGGCAAGGATTCTGGGGCTCCGTCTGACATACTTTGGACATGTTGTAAGGAGAGACAGGTCCTTGAAGAGGGACATTATGCTTAGTAGGGTAGAGGGACAGCGCAGGAGGGAAAGACCCTCTATGAGGTGGATTAATTCAATGACTGGGGTAATCGGGATGGGTGTGTCACAGGCATTGCGATTGGCACAGGATAGAGCAGGGTTTAGGGCTGTTGTACATAGGGTTGCTGCGAGTCGCAAACGACTCGACAGCACATAACAACAACAACAACATATTCAGCATTATTTTGAAAATAATTTGTAGAGAAATACTTACAGAGATTGCTCCCCAGAATGGATAGCCTGTTTTAAATGATGAAAAAGTCTCCTCCTGGGATTCTGATAAATCGAGCATGGCGTAGACAATTATTCCAAAGGACAAACATATCAGACTAATCAGAACTTGTGTTACCTGCAGAGAAAAAAAATGCACAGATTCTGTGGAAATAAGAAAATATTTTTCCTAGATTGCATCAATTTCCTTACCAGTGAGGTGAAACATAATAAATAGCTTTAGTATCTTAGACATTGAGGGTCCAAATGTTGACATTAGGATTTTAGTGTCCACTGGTCATTATAAGAACTGATGGAGGAGTTATGCAGTAGACCAGTACACTTATTCCTGTTGTCAGGATGGACATCAGTAATGGTTTTAGCCACATAAAGGAAGATAAAGACTCTGGATCTCTCACAATGATGTGTTCTGTTAATCCACCAGCAACAGACGAGAGCTAAGAGATCTTACGTGTATTTATTGTCCTCGCACTTTGGAAATACTTCGGTTTCACTTTCAAACCATCACAATAAAATCAGTATCAGACAAAACAAGTCCCATTCATCCTCTGGTTTTTCAGTGCATATTAAAGTTAGGGTTATATGATAATCTATTAGGTGTGCAACAGAATTACAAAAAAGATTTGAAACAGCCAAGAATTTTCAAAATAACACAGAGAATGAGCACTTGCTATCGGATAAATGGCACCAGTAGACTTGTTGGACGTAGGGTTGCTTTGTAAGAACGTACAGTATCTGTGAAGCACAACTAAAACCAAGTGAATCTGTAATTTAAAGGCTTTCGGAAGAAATGCTTCTCTCTTCCCAAAAGAGCCCAATTAGTGGCAATGATGGATCTACCACTAAAATATTTTAGAGGACCTTCCATTCCTTCAAGAACTTACCCAACTCAATATTCTTTTCCTCAAGACAGCCCTTGTCCAGTTAAGACTGGAGGAGTGTCACTTACCCCCAGGAATTCCAGCTCCTTCCTTAAAAGTGTCAGGCATGTCCGCTGTGGGATGGGTGGGGCAGGCTTCTCCAGTACAGAGTGGTCATGGGTGGCTATTTCTGCGAGTTCGATTCCAGATGTACTTTGAAATTCAACAGGAATTGGGACATTAGAAAACCTCTACTTCCTTGTGCAAAGTCGTAGGCTACAGAAGAGGGAGTTTTATTTGTTTGCTTGTTGTTGAAGTGAAACAGTTTGACATTGGTTACCAACTCATAGTGATCACTCGTGTTAGTCACATATATTTTTTTTTTTTGGCCATAATCTGATTGCCAAAAAGCCCCTTCCAAAGTTTTTTTTAAAATATATTTTAAGTTTTTGCAGCCTCCTCCAGCAGGTTTTCAGAGGCAGTTAATTACACGGGAGGAGATTGCCTATTTTTCTCCTGCAGAGCAGCTGGTAGATTTGAATCACATACTTTTGGGTTGCCTGTACACCTCTTTATTGCTAGGCCACCAAAGCTCTCTTTAATTCTCAAAAGTTGTGTCTCCAATCTTGGCCCTGACTCAGGGTGGCCCAGGTGTTATAGAGAAGAACTTTGCTATAGGGTTTTCTTGCTCTGGTGGCCTAGGGGTAAGGAACTGTGCTGCAATTTCAAAGGCGTGTCATTCAAATCCACCAGCTGCTCCACAGCAGAAGCGTAGACAATCTCCTCCTGTGTGATTAACTGCCTCTGAAAACCCACTGGAGGGTCAAGTATGGGTCAGTTCTGACTTGACAGCACACAATAACAATACTCTTAAGGGAGTTCTGGTAGCCCAGTGGATAGGGAGTTGTATTGTCAAACCTAAGGCAGTTGGTTTGCATCTACCAGCAGCAATTTCTGAGAAAAGTGGGCACCCTACTTCTCTTCAATAGTTAGCTCTAAAAGCCCTCTGTTGGATCGGTTATGATCAGTTCTGACTCAACAGCGATGAGCTGAGAATTCAATCTATGGAAGCAGATCACTAAGTTTTCTCTTCCATGGGGCCACTAGGTAGTTTGGTAGCTAGTCAATAGCTACTTGCCCCAGCCTGGCCCCTCAGTCTCTTCTGGAAGCATCAGAAAAAGAGTCAGCATAGGTTTTCCATCTTTGTTGTTGTTATTGTTGTTGTGTACCATCAATTCAGAACCAATCCATAGCTGACCCTCCAGTGGATTTTCCGAGGCAGTAATCTCAGGGGAGGAAATTGACTATCCATCTCCCGCAGAGCAACTGGCAGATTTGAACCGTGTGCCTTTGAAATTGCAGCACAGCTTCTTACCTCTAGGCCTCCAGAGCTCCCCAAGTAAAGCAAATGATACACTTCTGACAGACTTCATTCTGAGGACATTTCAGCTCTAAAAATTGGGAATCCCATAGCTTGAGGTTCACAAAGACCGACCAAGAAGGAACCTTGGGCCACTTCATAAAACTTCTACTTTTCTGTATGGACCATGTACTGTCTGTCCCCTGCATTAGTTATACCCAGAATATGAGCTTCTGCTGTTAAACACAATGGTTAAGGTTCTATTGGTGATTCAATGGTTAAACGTTCTGCTGCTAATAAAAAGGCTGACAGTTCAGAGCCACCAGTCACTCCAAGGATGAAAAGACTTGGCATTCTGCTCCTGTAAAGTTACAAGGAAACCATACGTGCCAATTGTACTCTGCTGTAGGTTGTACAGGGACAGGGTATGTTCCAACCAACTCCACAGTGTAAAATCACAACAACTACTAGAAAATTTGTTCTTCCCAGTCCACAAGCTGCGTTTTAAAAAGGCCTCCTCATCAGTCAGAGGGAACTATTGCTTCCTACAGAGGGAATAGCAAAGGGCTTTCTTCTCTTCAAACTACTAATCAAGCCAGTTGAGTCTGTGCCCAAAAGTTAATGAATTGATTTCCTTCCATCAAGCCCCTAAGGAATTATTAATATAATAATAATAATAATAATAATAATAATAATAATAATAATAGAAGCTCATACCTACCTAGAGTGCCCATGTGGGTTTGGGAGAGCCAGGTCAGCTCTGCTTGTGTTTTCCATGTCCATTTCCCCCCGTTAACTGCACTATCCAGCTGTGAACATTCCTTTCATAACAGAAGCTGGTAGACTTCTCACAGTGTTCTCCAGCTAAGCAGTGAGGCTATGCTGACTCACGATGGTGATGGCTATCTTTGTACACTAGCCATTTGTCAGAAAGATAAGTTTCTCTGTTGATTAAGATCAAGAGGGTTTTCTTTCTTCTTCTTCCCCCCACCCCGTATGAAAAAGGGGCATGGCTAGTCTTTTTTTTTTTTTTTTTTTTTTTTTTTTTTTTTTTTTAAAAAAAAATTACTGGTGTACTTAACAAAGTCCATACTCATTGCTTTTCACATTGGATCTTTCCCATTTCCTTTCACCAACCCTCCCTCCACTCATCAGATTTTGACACCCTATGAATAACCAACACCCCCTGACCCCGCCCATCCTCATCCCTCTGTTCCCACCTGCACCTCCCTTGGGTCTACATACATGTTCTTTGATAATGATCTTATACAGTATTTGTCCTTATGGGACTGAGTTAGTTCACTTAGCATAATGCTCTCCAGTCCCTCCCAAGTAGGTAGTGATTTACAAAATCATTGTTCCTATGTGCTACATAGTGTTCCATCATATGAATGTACTATAATTTCTTAATTCTTTCGATTGTAGTTGGACATTTAGGCTGTTTCCATGTTAACACTGCTGTGAACACTGGCGTACAAGTCTCTGTGCCTCAGTTCTCATTCTCTCGGGGTATAGTCAAAGCAGTGAAATAGCTAGGTCATATGGAATGTCTATGCTCAGCTTTTTGAGGAAATGCCAGACTGTCTTCCAGAGTGGTTTACTATTTTACTATCCCACCAACAATGTAAAAACATCCCTATCTCACCACATACTCTCCAAAATTTATTACTTGCTGTCCTGTTAAACTTTGCCACTGCTACTAGAGTAAGATGATATCTCATTGTGGTTTTGATTTGCTTCTCTCTTATTGTCAGTGGTTTTGAGAATTTCTTCATGTGTCTGCTGGCCATACGAATATCTTCCTCTGAAAATTCTTTCCATGTCTTTTGCCCATTTTATAATTGTCGTGTCAGTCTTTTTCTTGTGGAGGCCCTGTAAGATTCTATAAACTTTTGATAATGAGACCCTTGTCTGAAATGCTACCACCAAAAAATTTTTTCCAGTCAGTAGGTTTTCTTTTCATCCTGTTGGAGTTTTTGATGCACACAAGGATTTACTCTTTAGAAAGTCCCATGCATCCATTTTATCCTCTACAGTTTGTGCATTTCTGGCTGTACTTGGCAGTCTCTTTTTACCATAGATTAGGCCATCTAAGCTTTATTCCAGTTTGTCTCTGGTGACTTTATGGTTTGGGGCTTTACTCTCAGGTCTCTGATCCATCCTGAGTTGATTATTGTGTATGATGTGAGATGTGGATTGTTTCAACTTTGCAAAACTGGTCTACTAACTCTAATAGGTTTTTTTGTTGAGTCTTTGGGGTTTTCTGTGTACATTATCGTAACATCTGTATATAACGATAGTTTAAGCATCTCTTTACTGATCAGGATGTCTTTTATTCCTTCTCTTGTCTTATTGCCCTAGTAAGCACTTTCAATACAATACTGAAGAGAAGTGGTGACAGTGGGCATCTTTGTTTGGTCCCTGTTCATAAAGAAAATGCTTTTAGTCTTTCTCCATTGACTTTGCATATATACTTTTCACAATGTTGAGGAAATTCCCTTCTATTCCAATTTTGCTGAGTTCTTTATCAGGAAGGGGTATTGGATTTTGTCAAAATGCCTTTCTGCATCAATTGCTAAGATCATATGGTTCTTGTTATTTGGTTTGTAAATATGGTGAATTATATAGATTTTTTTTCTTATGTGCTTTTGGATTCTGTTGGCCAGGATTTTTTAAAAGGATTTTTGCATCTATATTAATGAGAGACATCAGTCTATAGTTTTCTTTCTTGTTAATATCTTTGCCTGGTCTTGGTATTATGGTAATGCTTGCTTCATAGAATGACTCAGGGAGTGTTCCTCCTTTTTCCATTTTTTGTAATAGTTTAAGTAGAATTGCTGATGTATCCTCTATAAATGTTTCATATAATTCAGCTGTGAAGCCATCTGTTCCAGGACTTTTCTTACAGAGAAGTCCTTTTATGACCTGCTCAATTTCTTTTTTTGTCATGGGTCAGTTCAAGTGTTCTATATCTGTCTTGTCAATCTGGGCAGGGCGTGAGTTTCAAGGAATTAGTCTACTTCCTCAAGATTTTAAAATTTTACATAGCTTTTTACAGTATTCTGATATTATCAATTTCATTTCATCTAGTCCTGTTGTGATGTCACCTCTATCATTTCTTAATCGAGTGATCTGTGTCTTCTTCTTTTTTTTTTTTTTTTTTACAAAGTGTGCCAATGGTTTGTCAATTTTGTTGACCCTTTTGAAAAACCAGCTCCTGGTTTTATTGATAGTTTCAGTTGTTTTTCTGTTTTCTAGCTCATTGATTTCAGCTATCCTTATAATTTCTTTTCTTCTAGACACTGTAAGATTAGATTGTTGTTTTTTTTCTAGTTGATGAAGGTGTGGAGTTAGAACACAGATTTGTATTTTTTTTTTCGTTTTTGTGTGTGTGCCTATTGCTGTGAACTGCCCCTGAGGACTGCCTTAGCTATATCCCAGAGGTTTTGGTATGTTGTATTTTCATGTTTATTTATTTCAAGGAACTTTTTTATTTCACTCTTTCTTTTATAACCCTATCATGTTCCAGCAGAGTTATGTAGTTTCCCCATGGGTGGTTTTGAAAACTTTACCCCCTTGTGGTTAATTTCTAGTTTTATGACATTGCAATCTGAGAAGATACTTTGTATTATTTCAATGTTTTTAAATTTGTTAAGACTTGCTCTATGTCCTAATATGTGATCAATTCTGAAAAATGTACCATGTGCACTTGAGAAGAAGGTGAATTGAGTTTTAGTTGGGTGCAGTACCCTGAACACATCCACAAGGTCAAGCTGGCTGCTTGTATAATTTAGATCTTCTGCATCTTTGTTGAATTTCTTTTGAGTTGACGTATCCTTCAATGATAGGGGTGTGTCTCCTATCACTATTGTGGTGCTATTTCTTTCAATTCTGTTAATCATTGATTTATGTATTTTGCAGGTCTATCATTTTGTGCATAAATCTTGACCAGATTATGTCTTCTTGATATATTGTGCCTTTAATCAGTATGTAATGTTCTTCCTTATTACTTATGGTGAGGTTTATTATTTATTTATTCTGAGGTCTATTTTATCAGAGATTAGTATTGCCACTCCAGCTGTTTTGAAGTTGCCATTTGCTTGGTATATTGTTTTCAAGCCTTTAATTTTCAGTTTATTTCTTCTTGTTATATATGTGTCTCTTGTAGGCAACATATTGATGGGCTTTGTTTTTTTAATCCATCCTGCTACTCCTTTTGTCTTGATTGGTGCATTATGTCCATTCAAATTAAGTGTGATTATTGTCAGGCCAGGTTTTACTGTTGCCGTTTTGCTCTGTTTCTTTTTCTATTGTTTCTAGTTACTATGGTCAAGCCACTTTCCTTTGATGTCGTCACATGAAGGACGTCACTTAAAATTTTTTGTAGTTTTGGTCTTGTTTTCACAAATTCCTTAAGTTTCTTTTTTTCTGCAAAGGATCTAATTTCTCCTTCATATTTCATGTAGAGCTTTGCTGGGTATAGGAAGCTTGGCTAGCAATTGTTTTCTTTCAACTTTCTGTATATGCCATCATATTGTCTTCTAGCTCACATGGTTTCTGCTGAGAAATCAGAACTTAATCTAATTGTTTCCCCTTTGTAGGTGATTCCTTGTTTTTCCCATGCTGCTTTTAGTATTCTATCCTTGTCTTTTAATTCGTAGAATTTTACTATGATTTGTCTTGATGTTTTTCTTTCTCAGTCTAGTCTATTTGGTGTTCATTGTTCTTCTTGAATGTGGATTTCCCTGTTCTTCAAAATATCTGGAAAGTTTTCAGAATAGTACCTCTTCCACAGCTTTCTCAGTGATTTCCCTGTCACTCCCCTGTTCTTGAATTCCAATCATACATATGTTGTTCCTTTGGAAGTTATCCCATATGATTCTAATGTTTTATTCACTACGTCTCATCTCTGATTTTTCTTCTAGTATGTTTTCAGTGAGGCTCTTGTCTTCCAACTCACTGACTCTCTGTCCCATCTCTTTAGTTCTACTTTTTGTCCTACCAGAATATTGGACACTTCTGCCAATTTAGTCTTAATATTATGGATTGCAATTTATGCTTTTCTACTATTTCCAGTACTATGTTGGCTGTACCATCTGTCTTGTGATAATTTTTAAAGTTCTTGTACCTCTTTATCTATACTATCAATTCTTTTTTCCAAATTTTGCGTTTTATTTTTTTTAATTGTTTTTCTTTCTTTTTTTCTTCCTTCTTCCATAGCTGTTCAAGTTGTTCCTCATCAATATATTTCTTCTGAATTGTTGTCTCTGGGATATTTGCTTTCTTAATAGCTTCCATTGTTTCTTCCATCATTTGCATCTTCTTCAGTAGCTGTTCAAATAACTCCCCATCAACATATTTCTTCAGAGTCTATCTGTGGTATTCATTGGGTCTGCTTTTTTAGAAGGCTTATTTTGTTTTTTTCATGATGACTAAGGCAGACTGTTGCTTTCTTGACATTATGTGATTCTTTTCTTAGTAGATGGCAGGTTGTTGTAACTATATAGTGACCCAGAGTGCAGTAATATTTTGTGAAGGACCTGTATGTGCTCCTGTCTTATTAAGCGTCCAACAGCAGTGTTTCACCCAAAGTACCTGAATGGCAGAAGAGGAAAATCTGTTCTCTTCCAGAAATTGCATCTCAGCCCTGCCCATTCAACTTGAATTTAATGGATCTCATGTGGTGCAGCTAGACAGCAGTGTTTCACCCATAGTTCCTGTGATCCTGGCGCTCCTGGCACTGGGCAGTGTGGATGGCAGCTGAGCGGTCTCCAGTGGTGGGACAGTGGGGTCTCCAGGCTGCAGGGGCAACAGTCTAGTGCTCTGAGCAAGACTGTGGTTTAGGTCACACTGAAACTGCAGCCCTCAACTTGGCAGGCAGTGTCATCAGCCAGGGTGTGAGTGTGCCTGGGCTGGGGCCATAGCCTTTAGCAGATGCCAGGGATGTGCTGTCTGGATGACATTCCCCAGCCAGCTATGCCACACAGGCCTTGGCATCTTACAGCAGAGCAAGAGTAAGGTCCCTGAGGAGAGTGTATCTCACAAGAAGTGACTTACGTTACTCTTTAATAAGCATCACCACCCACTGGCATTGATGTCAATCTTGACTCACGTGACTCATTGAGACCCTTCATCCCGTTTCCAAACTGTAAATTTTTACTGTCCATCTTTCCCCATTGGATTACCTGGTAGATTTTAACTAGAGATCTTTGGATTAGCAGCAATACACATAATATGCCATACTACTTGAGTGAGCTCCGTTGTTGTTGTTGTTAGGTGCTGTCGAGTCGTAGACAACTCATAGCGACCCTATGAAGGAAAGACCCGAGCACTGTTCATAGAGTTTCCAGAGGCAAGCCATTTTGGAAGTGGATGCCACTCCTGCTTCCAAGCTTGTTTTAATCAGGAAGCTCCACCAAACACTGTCCACCATGGGTAACCATTATCATATTTAGCACATCAAATGTCACAGTGTTCAGCATCACAGCAACCATGAGTTACCTCTGTACAGCAATGCACAGACCAGTGCTATACCACCTAGAAGAATGTTTGACAAGAAAACAATTTAAACCAGGCCTGAGGGCCGTAGATTAAAATCACCCACCTTGGGCTTGGTAGCATAACTTTCTGTCCCAACCCCAAAACACAGCCTATTGCCATTGAGCCAGAGCCAGCTCATAGCTGATCCTCTAGTGGTTTTCAGAGGCTGTAAATCATGTGGAAGGAGACAGCTCACCTCTCTTCCACAGGGACACTGGTAGATTCAAACTGGCTGCCTTTAGGCTAACAGCACAGCTCCCTACAGATGAGGCCACCAGACCTCAGTAAGCATCAGGATACTACAGCTTGTATATCTAATTGCCTGTTTTCTCTTTCAGGCATGTAATATATTTGTCTTTTTCCTCAAGGAAGCTGTTTCTTGAGCAGAGGATAATAAAAGATATATTAGCCTACTTTTCATTAAAAGTACATTAACCTAGGTGTCACTTCTCCATTGTGCCTACAGGAATTAATGAACCTAACCAATGTGCATCAGGAGATCTGGTCTTGCAAAAGTTAAGCATTTGTCTGTTACTTTAAAATCAGACAGTTCAAATCCAGCAGAAGAGCTGTGGGATTAAAGATTTGGCAGTTGCTCCCATGAAGATTGTAGCCTGAGAAACCCTTATGACTCATAGCACATAACAATAACAAAGACCAAAGAGCTGTTAGGATGAAAATAGTAGTTTGAAAACCAGGACTTGCTGAATAGCTTCCAGCCTTTTCACCAACTCCTTCTCTCGAGCCCCTCCTGAGAAGTTGGTCACTTTCCATGTTCATGCATGCTCAAAAAGCCATGCTTTTTCATCTTACACAACAGAGGACAAAGACACATTCAAGAAAATGAATTTTGGGGGGAAAAATTTTGGTGGTGACAAAATTATCAAGATGGGGTTTAACCATACCTCTGCATGAAAGGAAGAGATAACGGAGCTAACATCCTCCACCACCGTGGATACTTCCTCCTGTGACAGTGTCTGTGTGTACGTGTCTTGCCCACCCTCCATCTCTTGCGGCTGCTGATTCTTCTTCGATGAGAAAGGCTGCTTCCCTCAATGTTCCCAGGGATTAGTTGTAAGCCTCCTTTTGGCAGGGTTGTGCAACCTGTTAAATGCTTGCCTATTAACCTAAAGGCTAGGGGTTCAAATCCACCTTGAGAAGAAAAGTCACTCTTCTACCTCTGAAAGATCATAGCTATTGAAAACCCTGGAGAGTGTAGCTCTATTCTGGAGGTCACCAAGAATTGGAATCTATTTGACAACAGCTGGTTATCTTCTCAAGTGATGGGGAAAAAATGCAGTGGCTCATTCTTGTTTTATGATTTTAAGTATTGTCTACTCTATTGATTGGGGGAGGTAGTATTTTCTTGTCTTCCTGTTACCAGGTAGAATGCACTCTGTTAGAGTACAAGTTTCTCTTCTGGTTGTGTTTAATCTTTTCCAGGTGAGAAGAGGTGATTAACATGAGTGGAGATCTGAGGAGAATCAGACATTAGGCAAACTGGTGCACTCAGATGTCCTGCATGCATTCTGTCTTTTATGTCTGATTAACATTAGGAAAGGAGACCTGGTGGTGTGATGATTAAACATACGGCTGCTACCTAAAAGATCAGCACTTGTAACATGCTCACTTCTATTCAGGAGGAAAGATCTAGAACTTTTTTTCTTGAAAAAACTAAAACTTTGAAAGCCCTCTGAGGCAATTCTACTCTGTCATAAGATTTCCACAAGGTGAAATTGTTTCTATACAACACAACAGCAACAACATCAGAAAAAGCCCCTGAGTTGTGTAAACAATTTATACTCAGTTGAAAGGTAGAAGTTTGGATGTAATTTGATTCCAAATCTCTCAGATTTTTTTGCAGCAATGGACTTGAGGATATCAGACAATGAAGATGGTGCAGGATAGGACAAGGTTTAGATCTGCTGTTCACAGGGTCACTGTGAGTCGTTCTCAACTCAGAGGTGCCTAACAACATACTTGACTCGTTGAAATACGCAGTCCTTGTAGCCTGGTTCGTTAATGAAGATTATAGTCCAGAAACCTTATGATTTTCAATTCTATTCTGTAACTCCTCAGATTGCAACAGCAAACACGGCTTTTTGTCAGTCAGTCAGTCAGTTGTTTTGGGGGTTTATCGATATTCCTACCTAGCAAAGTGCTGGTAAATAATAACTTGCTTTGTAGAAGGATCTAAGACTTAACTGGTAGTTTTGCATGTTTTTTTCTAATGCTTCATTCCTCTTTATATAGTCCAGCTTCTCAGGTCATGGAGTTAACATACAGATTGCAAAAGTATGGTAAAAGTATATAATCCGTACATATGACCTGAGGAATATCTGTGTTTCACTGAGTATGCAAAGGCATTTGAACAAACTGTGGCTAACTCTGAGAAGAATGGGAATCCTAGAACACTTGACTGTGTTTATGCGAAACCTATACTTGGTCCAGGAGGCAGTCATCAGAACAGAGCATGGAAACACTGCACGGTTCAAAATTGGGAAGGGTGTACGCCAGGGATGTGTCCTATCTCCATACCTTTTCAATCTGTCCACTTCTGAAATAGCTTGCCTCCAGAAACTCTATGAACTTGGAGAAATGATGAAAGTTATACAAATGTTCATGGGGTCGCTATGAGTCATCTACAACTTGACGGCACTTAACGCCACCACCACGTCCGTGGGACTGGTGGATAGAAACTTATGCTACAAAGTCACAGGTAGGTTATTTTAATCTGCAGCCCCCAGGCCTGGTTTTAGTTGGTTTTGGTCAAACATTCTTCCAAGTGGTATAGCACTGGTAATGATGTCAGTTTGAGGATCAAGGTGCATCTGATTCAATGCTTTTTTGATCACTTCCTATGTATCTGAGAGTTCGACAGTGAGTAAAGATGACAGAAGAAGAATTGATGTCTTTGAGCTGTGGTGTTGGAAAAGAGTACTGTACGTCCCATGTGTCAGGCCCAGACCAAGGTCAAAGGAGGAGAATGAAAGACTCAAAGAATATCAACAAAGGGAGTGATCAGCCTCGCCACCTGGCTACACCACAGTGGAATGTCCCTCTCTTCCCTCCCTAAAGACCCTACTATAAAAACCTGCCCCAACCCGCCTTACGGAATGGTTTTCCCCTGGTCTGTCTCTCTCTCCAGGCCTAGGAATCCCGCTCAGGAGCTCCCTTAATAAAGCTGCTTTAGCTTTCTTTCTTTCTCTGGTCCCTTCCTTGAGTCCTTGGCCTTATATCCAGAGCAAAGACCTAACATTATGGACGGCAAAAAGAACAAACAAATGTGTCTTGGAGAGAGAGCAGACAGAGTGCTCATTGGAGGCCAGGATGATGAGGTTTTGCCTCATATGCTTCAGGCTAGGAAGAGCTGTTCCTTGGAGAGGGGACATGATGCTCAGAAAGGTAGAGCCTCAGTGAAGGAGAATAAGAACCTCGATCAAGTGGATTGACATGGTGACTGCTGCAATGAGCTCTAATATGTCAGGAAGGGTGAGGATGGTACAGGACAGGACAGTTCAGATCTGTTTTTCAAAGGGTCACTGTGGGTCATACTCAACTCAGTGGCATTTAACAACAACAATGGAACTCTTAAAGCAAGAAAGCAAGATTCCAGAAAACAAAGATAGCAGATACAGAAGAAAATTCTGTAACTCTGAGAAGAAAAAAAAATGATGAAGAAGTACTGCAAAGACCTGCTGAATAAAGAAAACACCATGTAAGGAGATGGACACAGCAATGGTGAAGGGCATAATGTGGTCATTTTGAAAGGCAATCTGGCTGGCTAGGGGACTCAGGACTGGCGGTCATCTGGTAAGAAAACCCATCAGTGGTTCCATGGGAAAAAGATGGACAATCTCTTTCCAGGCATTTTACAGCCTCTGAAAACCTACTGGTGAGTCAGCTGTTGGTTCTGACTAAATAGCAACAAGTAAGTGAGTGATTAAAATTAGCATTATAAAATGAGAATGAAGGGAGCTCTGGTGGCCTAGTGGCAAGAAGCTGCTATGTAATCCCAGAGGTGCGCAGTTCAAATCCACCAGATGCTCTATTGGAGAAGAAGTGAAAAAAAATATCCTCCTGTACCAGTCAGATCCGATTTGACAGCACGCGCGCACGCACACACACACACACACACACACACACACACAAATAATAAAATTTTAAAAAAATGAGAATGACTTAAATCAAATTGCAATTACAGTGTTGTGACAAAATATTTGTGAAAGATCAAATAAAAAAATAGATTTATAATGTAGGGGATGATTAAAAATAAGGAAGTTCTGGTGGCCTAGTGGCAAGAAGCTGCACTGCAATCCTGAAAGCACACAGTTCAAGGCCACCAGCTGTTCAACAGGAAAAGGATGGGCAAGCTCCTCCTATGTGATTAAATGCCTCTAAAAACCCACTGGAGGGTCAGCTATGGGGTGATTCTGAGTCTACCATATACAACAATAGTAAGTATCTAAGAAGATATTTGCAAACAACCTATATGTTAGACAGAGTTTTAGCAGCAAATTGGCACGTTGAAAACATAAACATAACCACTAAAGTCACTGGAGAGTATATAGGGGCCACGATAGACACATTGTGGGGGGTGTATACTACCCTAGTATTTGACCATAATCCCACATGAACTTTTAACAGTAGCAGGAAGCCGCCAGCACCATCACCATTGTTAAATAGTTTGATGCTTCCCTCTTCTACTTTATTTTCATTTAACTCTCCTAACAACTAATGAGGCAGTTAGCAATGGCATACCTATTTTAAAGATGAGGAAAGATGACTTAGAAAGACTAGGTTACTTTCCCAAGTTTATACAGATTGTTATTGTTGTTAAGTGTTGTCAAGCTGGGCACCACCCAGAGTCACCCTATGAGCCACACACCTGAAACGCTGTCCTCTCCTGTGCTGTCATCATGTCTGACACACTTGAACCCATTGCTGCTATTACCGTATCGATCAATCTCACTGGGATTCTTCCTTTCTTTCTCTGACCGTCCATCTTTTCAAACATGATGTCATTCCCCAAGGAATAGCCCAAAGTATGTGAAACGAAGCTTCGTCATCTTTGTGTCCAAGGAGCACTCTGGCCTCACTTTTTTCCAGATATATCTATTTGTTCTTTTGACAGTTTGTGAGATATTGAGTACTCTTCTCCAACATCCCAACTCAAAGACTTCCATCCTTCTTCTGTGATCCTTTCTCATTGTCCAGCTCTCAGATGCACAGCAAGTCATTGAAACTGAAATTGAGTCATGGTCTGAAACAGACCACCTTAGTCTTCAAACTGACACCATTCTTTAGTATTTTGGAGAAGTCCTTGACAGTGGAATTGCCCAGTGCAATATATTTCCTGATATTGATACTAAGGTTGATTGCTGATGTAAGCAAGATGAAGTCATTGACAACTTCACTCCTTTCTCCATCTATCACGACAAAGACTACTTCGATTCTGATTCTTTCTGATTCTATGGTTTATGGTAACTCCTTTGTTGAACACTTTTTTGGTCTCCCACCTAAATCATCAGTTAGGTAATAGCACACGGATGAATCTCAGCTTCTGACTGACATTAAAACTCTAAAGCTCAACCCCCTCATCTCAAATAGAGTAAAAAAAAAATATATTAACAAGAATGCTGATGATTTGTATTTGATAGCTTTTACAGAGATGGTATTCGCTAATGTAAACAATTTTTTCCTGTAATAAGAGGGGTGAGGGGAGAGAAAAGAAGACTAGTTTTCTTCTAAGTGTGTAGTTGGAAATTAAATACAAGAGAAAATGTATAAAATATAGGACACACCATATACTTTTTTTCAAAATCAAAAGGCTTCAAGTAGATGTGTAAAGAAAATGAAACCCAATCTTGAAACACCATTGAAGAATTCATCATAGAAGTTGCAAGAGAGAAGATTTAGTAAGAAGATATAATCTGGCCTGTCAATCTCACACTAACGATTTGATAGGATAGAAAGACTGGATCAAACATCCATGCTTCTCACAGTTAAAGCCAGGACCAGCGGCTGTGATTCATGGGTCCATGTTCTCCTGAGTCCCTAAGTGAAATTCAGACTCATCAGAAATTGGAAGTTGGATTTTCTTGCTCTCAAAATTATTTGTATCCGGAAGCATTCCTGATTGCACAGAGCTTAGAGGTGAAGAAATTGCCTGTAAAATAAAGCAACATTAGTCTCCAAGCATAGGGTCATCTCTTCCTTCTCCTGCCATGCATCCCCATTACCTTCAACATGATCATATTTCTTGACTCATTGAACTAAAATATGAGTACGTGTATGGGTGCTCCCTACTCCGGCTGGAGGGGGAAACACCACTGAAGGGAACCTTGAGCTCTCATTCTTGATAAGGAAATTCCTGGGTGGTGCAAATTGTTAACAAACTCAGCTACAAAGGGCAAAACTGGAGGGGTTTGAATAGAGGTGACTTGGAAGAAAGGCCTGGTGATCTACTTGCAAAAATATCAGTCATTGGAAACTCAATGGAACAGTTTTAGGGGATGCACATGGGGTTGTCATGAGTTAGAATCAACCTGATGGCAATTGAATTTGGAAAATATGAGAGAGAGAGAGAGAGAGAGAGAGAGAGAGAGAGAGAGAGAGAGAGAGAGAATGAATATAGATTGATACATAGAAGTTGGATGGATGAATGTATAAATAGATTGATAGATGGTAGATGGATGATGGGTGGATAGATTAGATAGATAGGTAGATAGATAGATAGATAGATAGATAGATAGATAGATAGATAGATAGATATAGATAGATAAAGTTTTCCACATAGAAAATATTAAAGAAAGTCGCTATGAGTCGCAGGCGACTCGATGGCATATAACAACAACAACAACAACATAGTATATGTGGTGCTGGAGAAGGGTTTTGAATATACCATGAACTAAGAGGTCAAACAGGTTTATCCTTGAGAGGGTAAAACCAGGCTGCTCTTTGGAGGTAAAGATTCTGAAGCTTTGTCTGGTATATTTGGGGCATGTTTCAAAGAGGGACCAGACCTTGGAGAGGGACATTATACTTGGGAGGGTAGAGGGAGAGTGCAAGAGAGGCAGACCCTCAATAAGATGGATTGATTCTGTAATTGGGGTAGTGGGGTGTCGGAGACAGTAAAGTTGGCAAAAGATAGAGCAGGTTTCAGAGCTGTTGTACATAGACTCGCCATGAGTCACAGGTGACTTGATGGCACATAACAGCAAAACAACAACATAATGTTATCCTCATTCCCCAGTGGGCATGTATTTTCCATTTGAAATCTAGAAGGATTTGTGGTTGCTCCTTAGTAATACAGCTAGAAAGTAACAGACTATCAGAAAAGAAATGTCATTGTTTTGTATCTAAAATGTATGTTCCTAAATAACAGATGCAGCTTTTCTCCTTACAATTTCACATTGAGATTGTTATTCAGCCTGTGTTTGCATTCTCTCCTTCATTTAATCCACAACCATAGAAATCGCTACCACATAAAAATGTCCTTTTATGTCTAAGAGTCCCACCAGTCTGGAGAAGAATCTCCAGGCCTAGAGGAGTTTTGTGGAACATGTATATTATTGGTGGTTTAGACACACTTACCTCTCTTGATTTAGAGCAGTTTGCTTTGCACCACATGACTATAATAGAGATGGTTACACACAATTCCAGCAAGGTGAGGATCAGCATTAGAGACACCAGACCCTAGGGGACAGGGTGCCACGTATCAAACACAAGGGAGGCAGGCAGGAAAATAGACAAGATCTCCCTCCTGTGAAACCTACTGAAACACACACCCTAGAAGGAACACAATCCCAACCTAAATACATGGAAAGAGTTTTCCCTTGAAAGAAAAAGTTTGTATTTCTATATCAACTATATCAACCTACGTGATATGGATGGGGAGAAGTTACAGAGGCAAAATTCTGATGCTCTCACAGACCCACTGCCCTAAAGTTGATCTCAAGATTCCAACTCATGCTGTTACGGAGTAGAACTGCTCCATTGATCATTGACCGTGACCTTTATGGAAACAGAGTGCCAAGCTTGTACTCGATGGTACCATCGGGTAAGTTTGACCCTTCTATGTTAATGCAAATGGTTGATGCTATCCAGGGACCTTGAAACAATCACTTCTGTCTACCCATCTGAAAGCAGGAACAAGATCTCATCAGGTAAATGGACATGCACGCCCCGTTTGCCACTGTGCTATTCGCACTTCATAGTGGTTGCTGTGTACTGTCAAGTCGGAACCTACTCAGAGCTGACGCTCCAGAGAGTCTTCAGAGGCATTTCACCGCGTCGGAGGAGACTGTTCATCTTAATCCAGTGAAGACCTGGCCGACTCAGTGTGCCTCTGCGTTGGCAGCACAATTCCTGACCACTCAGCCCCCAGGGCTCCTTCACAGAGGGCTTCAGAAAGGGTTAGACATTTGCAGTGTCCCATGAACTAATTGTGGTGTTGGTGAAGAGTATTTAATATCCTATGGACTGTCAATTATTGCAATGTGAAAGTCTGCTGTTAGGGACCTCTCCAAAGTTCTGAAGAGCAATGGTGTCTCTCTGGAGACTAAGGTGCATCAGATACAGGCCATGGTCTTTGCAATCACTTGTTATGCATTCAGAGAGTTGGACAATGACTAGGGAGAATAGAAGGAGAATTGATGCCTTTGAGGTGTGGTGATGGAGAAGAGTATTGAGGGTACCATGGATTGCTAGAAAAACAGATTCATCCTGGAGAAGGTTAAACCAAGCTGCTCCTTGGAGGCAAGGATTCTGGGGCTTCGTCTGACATATTTTGGATATGTTGTTAGGAGGGCCAGTCCTTGGAGAAGGACATCATGCTTGGGAGGGTGCAGGGACAGCACAGGAGGGTAAGACCCTCTATGAGATGGATTGATTCAGTGACTGGGATAATTGGGATGGGAGTGTCAGAGACAGTGCGATTGGCACAGGACAGAGTAGGGTTTAGGGCTGTTGTACACAGGGTCGCTATGAGTCACAAGTGATTCGATGGCACATAACAACAACAACAACATGGACTGTCAAAAGAGCAAACAAATATGACTTGAAGGAGGTGCAAGCAGAGTTTCCCTTAGAGGTAAGGATGTGGAAAATTCATCTCACTTATTTGGTACGTGACTTGATAGCTCCTAACATCAACAACAACAATCAGAGAAAACCAGTCCTTGGACAGAATTTTGGAAAGGACCGAAAAAAGAGAAGACCTTTAAAAAGATGAGTTGACACAGTGACTGCCACCATGCCCCTGATCATGACAGAGATCATGTGGGGGACTCAGGAAGAGGCAAGCTTCAGACCTGCTGTTCACAGGGTCGCTAGGAGTCGTAGGCAACCCGACAGCACTCATCAACACCACCTCCTCAAACATTCATGTTGAAAACTTAAACACTGAATAGAATTGTTCCCATTTTATTATTATCGGAGGAACTAGAAGGGCAAATACAAAATTGCTTTGGAAGAAAAATACCATAACATTTAAGAAAAATCTGAGACCAAAAAAAAATCTACATAATAAAAAGTATATTCAAGAAAATAATGTAAAAAATTTCCCATAGAGCTCTGGTGGCCTAGTGGCAAGAAGCTGCACTGCAATCCCAGAGGTATGTGGTTGGAATCCACCAGATGCTCTGCTGGAGAAGGAGAGACAATCTCCTCCTGTACCAGTCAGATCTGATTTGACGGTACATATATAATAATTAATAAAATTTTTTAAAAAATTTAAAAAATCTCCCATAAACAGAGTCAATATATTGCTGTCAAGTCAGAACTGACCCATAGTGGGCCCTCCCTCGAGTTTTCAGAGGCAGTAAACCGCACGGTGGGAGACTACCCATCTTTCTCCCATGGAGCAATAAGCAGGGTTAAACCACCTACTTTTGAACTGGGTGTGCAACTCTGAACTACTAGGCCACCAGAGCTCCCTAGATGAGAGCTCCCATACAGAGCTCCCAGTATGTTGTTGTTGTTGTTGTTTTGTGCTGTCGAGTCGCCTGCGACTCATAGCGACCCTATGTACAACAGCCCTAAACTCCACTCTGTCCTGTGCCAGTCGCACTGTCTCTGACACTCCCATCTTGATTACCCCAGCCACTGAATCAATCCACCTCATAGAAGGTCTTCCCCTCCTGCGCTGTCCCTCCACCCTCCCAAGCATGATGTTCTTCTCCAAGGACCAGTCTCTCCTCACAGCATGTCCAAAGTATGTTAGACGAAGCCTCAGAATCCTTGCTTCCAAGGATGAATCTGTTTGTTTTCCTAGCAGTCCATGGTACAGTCAATACTCTTCTCCAGCACCGCAGCTCAAAGGCGTCAATTCTCCTTCTATCCTCCCTATACAGCATCTGATATTATGTTCTGTATATTTCTCATTATTTGAATGATTTTATAATTAAGCATTTTTTTTAAAACCTACTGTTGATGAGGAGCCCATGTAAGTGCACAGATCTGGTGACTGTGAAGAGCCACAGCTCTCGAGTGACTGGTTATTAAATGCTAAGTTTATGGAGAGAAAAATAATTCCAATGAGCGCAATTACAGCACTGGAGATGTTCATCCCGAAACTGCTCTGCATCTAAAAGAGAGTAAGAATATAAAGAGCACATGTTTTACTCCCTCTGCTGTAATTCATTGACGCAAATATTGATTAAATGCCCCCTTAAAAAGTGATGCTACCAAGCCCAAGGTGGATTATTTTAATCCGCAGCCCTCAGGCTTAGTTCAAATTGGTTTTTTTGTCAAACATTCTTCTAGGTGGTATAACACTGGTCTGTGCATTGCTGTACAGAGGTAACTCGTGGTTGCTGTGATGCTGAACACTGTGACACCGATGTGCCAAATGTGATAGTGGTTACCCATGGTGGACAGTGTTTGGTGGAGCTCCCCGATTAAAATAAGCCTGGAAGCAGGAGTAGCATCCACTTCCGAAATGGCTTGCCTCTGGAAACTCTATGAACAGTGCTCAGGTCTTTCCTTCACAGGGTGGCTCAGTCTATGACTTGATGGCACCTAACAACAACAACAAAGTATCTTAGATGTGGGCAACATTGTTGTTGTTGTTATGTGCTGTTGCTTGTGACTCACAGTAACCCTTTGTACAAGAGCCCTAAACCCTGCTCTACCCTGTGCCAAGCTCACTGTCTCTGACACACTCACTCCCACCACCCCAATCACAGAATCGATCTATCTCATTGAGGGTCTTCCTCTCCTGTGCCGTCCCTCCACTCTGCCAAACAGGATGTCCCTCTCCAAGATTGGTAAACAAATAAATACACCCCCATCCTTATGGAGCTTACGTTCTACCAAGAAGGAAATAGGAACACACTAATGGTGAAGAGATTGAGGTTGTGAACAGTTACAGCTTTCTCGGCTCCACAATCAACACTGTTGACACCCAAAGTCAAGAAATTAAAAGACAATGTGCATTGAAAAATCTGCCGTCAGGGACCTCTCCAGAGTACTGAGAAGCAACAATGTCAGTCTAGAGACTAAAGTGCACCTGCTCCAGGTCATGGTGTTCCAGTTGAATCAGAGAGCTGGACAATGACTAAGGATGACAGAAGAAGAATCGATAACCTAGAAGTTGTGATGCTAGAGAAGAATCTTGACCATACTGTGGACCACCAAGAAAACAACTCAGTCTGTCTTGGAGAGAGTGAAACCAGATTTCTCCTTGGAGGCTAGGATTTTGAAGTTCTGTCTCACATATTCTGGGCACGTGGCCAGGAGGGACCAGTCCTTGAAAAACTGACATTATGCTCAGAAGGCTGGATGGACAAGCACAGGAGAGGAAGAGCCTGGATGAGAAGGATTGATACAGTAACTGGAGTCATGGAGGTAGACATGTCGAAGTCAGTGAGACTGGCTCAGGACAGGGCAGGCTTCAGAGCTGTGAGTTGCTATGAGTCGCAGGCGACTTGACGGCACATAACAACAATATAAGAAAAACTGGAAGGAAGAAAATTTAAGATTAGGAGTTGAATTTTGGATCTTTTATATGTCTAAGTGGAAGAAATTTTATATGCCAGCCTCCTACACACAGATGAGATCTGGGCTCATTTCAAAGTTTCCTTATTTCTTTCAAAGTTGTGGGCTTGTTATAGTTGTTAGGAACTGATAAGTCAACTATGACTCATATAGCAACCCTATGAACAACAAAGCAAAACCCGGCTCTATCCTGTGCACACATAGATGTTATCCGAATTCATGAGAACAGAGGAGATCACCAAAAGAGTACAGACTAAATCAATACTTGAACTCTGAGGTCCCTCAGACTTGAAAGGAGCAAAGAACTGCCAGGTGCTGTTGAGTCAACTATGACTGATAGTAATTCTATGAACAATTGATCTGAACCTGGTCCTGTCCTGTGCCATCCTTCATAGGAAAGTAAATCGATCAAGGCCTTCTGAAGCCACAGAAACACACTGCTGGAAGCAGAGGCGAGTGATCTGCTTTGCAAAGTGCTGCTCAGAAGAGACTACCTGTCAAGAATGTGGAGGTCTCCAGGAAATAGCAGTTACAGCAGTTACAGAGGTTTGATAGAGATGAATACACAGTCTGACTGGAGTCCCTGGGTGGCTCAGCTAACACGACTGACTGCTAGCCAAAAGGCTGAATGTTCGAACTTACCCGAGAGGCACCTGGGGAAGAGGTCCTGTTGATCTGTTTAAAAACAACAATAACAAACAAACAAAACACACACACACACCCAAAAATTTTTAAAAAACCAACAAAACACAAAACCAAAAACAACCCAGAGGTGGAAAACTCTCTGGGGTGGAGCTAAGATGACATCCTGGCCAGACACACCCCATCCCATCTTTCTTCAACAAAGACCAGAGAAACTAAGGGTAACAGATATAAATGAGAAACCTGAAGCTCTGCATATCATACAGAAGGATGGATAAAAACATACATCAAGCAATAATTGGAATTAAAAAAACCAACAGATCTAGAGAAGAAAGGGATTTACTGTGTGGGGGTCCCCACCGGCTAGGGTGGGATGTCATTTTGAGACAATGCCAGCAACATTCCCAGGTTAGGAGGATAGGAAGGGAATGTCGTGGACCCCCTAATGAGACAAAGACAGGGGGTAGACAAATACAGAGTAATGCAAAGTGAATAGATCATGAAATTGACTTTAGGAAGACAAATAGGAAAGAACTTTGGAGACTCAAGTAACCCCAGAGAAAGGAGGGAGCCAGGGGTAGTACCACTCACTGCCGTGGTGCCTGATCATCTGGGTGAAGGATTCTCTGAGAGGGGATGGTCCATGGCAGCTATAGACTCCATTCCCCAGAGGCCCCACCGAAACTTGTATCGAATCAGCACCCATGCTGGTAGCCAGAGGCTGGAAGAGTGCTCTACGTTCCTTTCTCTCATGGATTGAAACTCAATATCAAGAAAGCAAAGATTCTCACCACTAGGCCTATTGGCAGCATCAATAATGGATGGTGAAGAGATTGAGATTGTTCACGGCTTTAGTCTGCTTGGATCCACAGTCAACACTCTTGGCACTAGCAGCCAGGAAATGAAAAGATGTATTACAATGGGAAAGCCTGTGGTTACAGACCTCTCTAAAGTGCTGAAGTGCAAAGATGTCAGACTGGAGACTAAGGTGCGCCTGATACAGGCCATGGTCTTTGCAATCACTTGCTATGCATCAGATAGAGCTGGACAATGACTAAGGAGGATAGAAGGAGAATTGATGCCTTTGAGCTGTGGTGTTGTAGAAGAGTATTGAATATACCATGGACTGCTAGGAAAACAAATAGGTTTGTCCTGGAGAGGATGAAGCCAGGCTGCTCCTTGGAGGCAAGGACTCTGAGGCTTCATCTGACATACTTTGGACATTACCAGTCCTTGGACAGGAACATCATGCTTGGAAGGGTGGAGGGACAGTGCAGGAGAGAAAGACCCTTGATGAGATGGATTGATTCAGTGACTGGGGTACTAATGGGGGCAGGTGTGTCGGATATGGTGAGATCGGCACAGGATAGGGCAGAGTTTAGGGCTGTTGTACATAGCGTTGCTATGAGTCACAGGCGACTCGACGGCACATAACAACAACAACAACAACAACAACATAAAAAAAAAAACCAGACAATAGGATGTGTGGTTCCATCCCCACTCCCCCTTACAACTAGTGATACCCCTCTGTTCAACCTCAGTTGTTCAACCTTATGTGATCCCATGCCACTCCATCCCCCCAGCAGCATACACTTCCAGGAATTGTGTCCCTTGAGCCCGTCACTGTCCCCTAAGTATGACAATAAAATTAGTATGCTTGCAAGCGGAAAGTATGAAAATTTGTAAAAACCAGATCAACTGTATAAGAAAAGGAGTTCTTCAGACACAACTAACAATGTCAGATAACAATCTGATCTTAAGAGACACGATAATTTCTCCCGGAAGCCAACCCAGATAAAGTCTTTTCAAAAATTAAATAAAGTTACGAAACTGAAAATTGGGGAACAGATGCTTCAAATGGTGCATAACTGCAAAGCAAAATGAAGGAATAAATGGTGCATTTTATAGACCCTTAAAAAGGAGAAAATCTCAAAATGATGTCAAGATAGAAGCTGTTTTAAACTTAGGAATTACATTTCAGAGTAGCCATGAAAGACATTAATAAACCTTTTTAACAATAAAATAAAAATAAGAAAAGCATTATAAACTCAGTATCCAGAAAATCAGCAACAACAGAGGAAATTGAAACTCTAAACAAAGTTAACTCAGTGCAGAAAAGTCTATGAAAACCATCAGTGCATACACACACAAAGAGCATCAATAAATTTGTACCTTTTGGCAATTAATTTGCTTGGCTCCACAATCAAGACTCTTGGTACCAGAAGCCAGGAAATAAAAAAGTTAATTCCATTGGGAAAGTTTGCTGTCAGGAACCTCATCAGAGTACTGAAGAGCAATGACATCAGTCTGGAGACTAAGGTGCACTTGATTCAGGCCATAGTCTTTGCCAATACTTGCTATATATCAGAAAGTTCGACAATGACTATGGATAATAGAAAGAGAATTGATGCCTTTGAGCTATGGTGCTGGAGAAAAGTAGTGAATATACCATGGACTGCCAAGAAACAAACAGATTCATCCTGGAGAGGGTAAAACCAGGCTGCTCCTTGGAGGCAAAGATTCTGAGGCTTTGTCTGACATACTTAGGGCATGTTGCAAGGAGGTACTATTCTTTGGAGAGGGACATCATGTTTGGAATGTAGAGGGACAGCACAAGAGAGGAAGACCTTCGATGAGATGGATTGATTCAGTGACTGGGGTAATGTGGGTAGGGGTGTCAGAGACAATAAAGTTGGCACAGGATAGAGCAGGTTTCAGAGCTATTGTACATAGAATTGCTATGAGTTGCAAGTGACTCAATGGCACATAACAACAACAATTGGCAATAACACTGGATATTATTGGATTAAATTTACCAGACAAAAGACAGAATGGCAGAATAGATAAGAAAATTTGAACTATCAGTTTGATGCCTGCAATATCCATGCCTTAAACTCAGAATAAATAGAAGTTAAAACAATTAACCAGTCTGTAGGATAGTTTAGAGTTTCTTCAAAAGGCTGAACATTGAAGACCCATATGAACCAGTTACTGCACTGCTTGGAATATATCCCAAGGAAAATAGAACTGGAAGACAAATATTCCTTGGAGAAGAACATGATGAAGAAAGGATGGAGGGTTGGTGAAGGAGAGAGGAAGGCTCTCAACCAGGTGGACTGACATGGTGACTGCTGCCAGTGGGCTTTTGTGTGTTATGAAGTACGAGGATGGTGCAGGACAGAACAGAGTTCAGATCTTTTGTTAATAGAGGTGCTATGAGCTGTACTCACCTCAAGGGCACCTAACAACAATAACAACTTCTTCAACATCACACTTCAAAGGCCCTTCTTTGGCCATCCTTATTCATTGTCCAACTTACAAATGCACAAAAAGTCATTTAAGAAGACAATGTCTTGGATCAGGCACATCTTAGACTTGAAATTGACATCCTTGACCTTTAAAGAGGTCCGTGACGGTGGCTTTTCCCAATACGACATGTCTTTTGAATTCCTGATTGCTGCTATCAGTGGTGCCGAGGGTAGACCCTTCAATTATTTCTCCATTTACCCTGAAGTTTCTTATTGATCCAAGGGTGGGTATTTTTGTTTTCTTGATGTTTAAGTGCAGTTCATATTGAAGATTATAGGGTCTTCACCTTCTGCAAGCAAGTGTGTCATCCGTCTCACACAGGCAACCAATGAGTCTTCCTTCATTCCTAACACCAAGTTCTTTTTATATAGAATAACTCACAAATACATACAACAAACCTGAACAGAATGGGAATGCCCAATAATGGTAAGAGACTTTCATGTACTACATTCAGTAAAAGACATAAAAACTAGAAAGAAATTCAACAACAATACACATCTCAACAACACAATCAGCCAAACTGGTCTCATGAACAGAACACTCCACCCAACAATAGTACAGTACACCTCTTTTTACAACAAATATGGATCATTCTCCAAAATAGATCTTATGTTAGGTTACAAAGCATATTCAATAAATTCAAAACATCAGAATAGTACAAAGAACATTCTCATATCACAATGCCATATAATTAGAAGTCAGTAACCAAGTGTAATCTTCTGAAAGATTAACCATTAAAACTCCCACAAGTACAGATCTGCTCTGGCACGCAGCAGGTCACGGGTCAGAATCACCTGACAGCAACTGGTTATCTGAAACTTGTTAGTTTGGTTTCATTGGTTAATTTGCAGTTGCTATACTGTGTAAGCTATGAACACTGATGTATCAAATGCATTAATGGCTGGCTACCCAATGCGGACTGAGAGTGGGGTGGAGCTCCCCAATTAAACAAGCTTGGAAGGAGGAGTGGCATCCACTTCCGTAACAGCTCGCCTCTGGAAATCCTATGAACCTGCAGAGAGGACGAAAAGCACCCAAGTGTCGAGGACGCTCCTTCATAGGGTCGCTATGAGTCACCTGCGACTCGACGGCACTTAACAACAACAACAACAACAACAACCAAGTGTAGGGTAATCAACATATGAAAACTACATTATTGTTGATGTTGTTAAGTGCCATTGTATCAACAATGATTCATAGCAAGCCAATGAACAATGGCTCTGAACCTTAATTTTATCCTGAGCCAACTTTCCCATCTCTGACACATGTGACCTCATTGCCATTGCCACTGTGTCAAATCCATCTCATCCAGGGTCTTCCTCTCCTCTGCTGACCCTCTACCCTTCCAACCATGACGTCCCTCTCCAAAGGACTGGTCCCTCTTGGCAACATGTCCAAAGTATGTCAGGTGGAGTTTCAAAATCCTTGCCTCCTGGTTCCACCACCCGAAGGACAGATCTGCTTGTTCTCTTGGCTGTACATCGTATGTTCAGTACTCTACTCCAGCACCAAAATTCAAAGGCATCGATTCTTCTGTCATCTTCATTCATTGCCCAGCTCTCAGAAACACAGCAAGCAATTGAAGAGACCATGGCCTGAGCCAGGCGCACCTTAGATTCTAGGTTGACATCATTGCTCTTTAGCATTCAGGAAAGGTCCTTGAAAGCAGACTTTCCCCATACAATTCATCTTGACTTTCTGACTCTTGGTGCCAAGGGCTGATTGTGGATCCAAGCAAGATGAAATCGTTAACAACCTCAGTCTTTTCTCCATTTATCATGATCCTGCCTATTGATCTGGTGGTGAGGATCTTTGTTTTCTTAATTTTGAGCTGCAGTTCTTTATCTTCTGCAGCAAAGACTTCATGTCTTCCTCAATTACAGCAAGCCAGGTTATGTCACCTGCACAATACAGATTGTTGATGAGTCTTCCTCCAATCCTGATGCTGCTTTCTTCATAAGTCCAGCCTCCCACATGGTCTGCTCCGATGTGGACTAAAAAGGCATGGAGAAAAGATACATTTCAGATGCACTCCTTTCTTAATTTTGAACCATGCAGTGTTCTCCTACTAATGACACACCACAGCTGCTTGGTCTAATTATAGATTTTCCATTAGTACAATCAAGTGCTCTGGCATTACCATTCTTCTCAATGTTAGCCATAATTTGTTATGATGCAAACAGTCAAATGCCTTGCATAGTTGTAAAACACAAGCAAGCATCTTTCTGGTACTCTCTTCTTTTAGCCAAGATCCATCTTTACATCAGCAATGATATCTCTAGTGCCATGTCTTCTTCTAAATCCAGCTTGTCTTTCTGGAAGTTCTTTGATGATATATTCTTCTAGTTATTTTTGGCATAATATTCAGCAAGATTTTCTTGCATGTGATATTAGTGATATTGTTTTATATTTTCCATATTCTTTTGGATGATTTTGGGGGGAAATGGGAATAAATATGGATCTTTCCAGTCAGTTGGCGAGGTAGCTGTCTTCTATTTTTCTTGGCATAATTGCATAGCACACTCTTCTTGTTTTTTTTTAAGATGTTATTTATCAGTTTAAAATAATTTTTTACTCTTGAATGAAGATTATTGGGATAATTCCACTGATTCTGTTACATAGAGATGTGTGCAGAGGGATTACATAGTTTGTCACAATTCTTTTAATTTATAAATCCTAATTCTATTTCAAATATAGCCTATTATTTTAGCATTTATGAATCTTTTATTTACTTCTTGGGCATATTTCTTTTCTTTCTTGCTTACTTGCTTTTTTCCTTTCTTTCTTACTTTCTTTCTTGCATGTGCTCTCTCGCTCTCACTCTCACTCTCTCATACACTCTCCCCACCCCCAAAACTCCTTTTTTAAGAAAATTCAATTTTTTAAAATTTTATATTTGTTTGCTTACAAAGCTCATATACATTGTGTTTCAAACTATTCTTCATTCACATTGTGTTTCATTCAGTCATTCCCATGTATTATGGTTTTTCCCCCTCTACTAGTTTATTTACAAAACTTGAACACAGATTTAGAATAAGGCTTTCAATTTCCCTCACCCCCTCCCACCCATCAAATTGTACAACCAAATGACTAATTCCCCCTCGACCTGCACATCCACATTCTTCTGATTCCAGCCTTTCCCACCCCTCCTGGATCTTGTTTTATTATGTGATTGGGGTTCCTCCATCTTCCTTTCCCCAGAAGTAAAGAGATTTCACTTTCTTGTACATTGCATGAGACTCAGTATCATAGTTGGATACGGCAACCTGTACTGTCCTGCAACTGGTACATGATTCATTTCCACACCCATGGTCAGAGTTAAAAGAACGGTGACTTACAGCAACTCTTGTGTTTTTCCTTTCTGCTGCCACAGACAAGGATCCAGAACCAATAAACTGTTTTAAAATAGAAAATTAAGCAGATAAAGTACTATTAAGTTTCAATTGTTTTTTTGGGTCCCCCCCCCTTCTTTGAATACCAGGTTTCTATCTATAGTCAGTCATATTTTCAGAAAGGAATTAGCAGGCAAGTTGTTTTTCTTCCCAGGCTAAGACTCTCTCGCACCACAAGGCAATTCACTAAAGCTTATTATTCATTCAGCTTTCTTAATATACATTAATTTAATGCATGAATATTCAGGTAATGTCTGGGGTTTAATTCGTATACAGTAATTAAGGGTTATATTTGTTTTGTTTTGTTTTACTTTCTTATCAGAAAGATACTTCTCTTAGAAATTCATTTGTGTCCAGAATTAAGAATGAACTTGACAGCATGCAACCTTCATATAACCGCTAAACAAACTCCTTATGAGAAAGCATTTAAAAGAAAACAAGCCTCTAACAGTGCTCACAAAGGACCAGGGGTCAGAGAATTCTGCATACTCACGAACACAGCGCCCCATAGTGGATAGCCTGTGTAGAAGGTAAAGAAAAAGAAGTGCCTGTAGAGATGAGACGCATATTGTAAGGAGCCCAGAAAAATTCCCAGGGCTAGAATTACTGCTCCGTTCAGGATCTGGATGGCCTGGAAGGACAAGAAGAGAAAGACGGGTGTAATTGTCGTAAAGTGTACACTGAGAAGAGGCCACTTTAGCAGCCTTCAGCAAGGAGTGTCCCTGCTTGAAATGGTTAAAATGTCAAATTCAAATCACCCGACAAGAGATACCTCGAGAAAATTTTCGATCCACACTATGCTCCCTAGACATTTTGTAATCCAAACATCTTCAACTCTTTCCTAACCCCTATTTACTCTCACAAACTCCCTTCCGAAAATGGTACAAGAGTAATACTTGGTTAGATAGACTGGTCCAAGTGTTCTTCCCAGAATGCTTTGGAGCCAATAATAAGACCAAGACAGACATAGAGTAAGCAGCGTTCCACTCCATCTTCTTCCTCAATCCAATATTTTAAGTTGAAATATGGAAGCTGAACTTTATGGCTACCTCCTAATGTTGAATGGCCAAAGGGACAAAAAAGAAATGCGAAACCTTGGAGAATATTCTCAATAGTTCTTATTGTCTCCCTTGAGAGGATGTTTCCACACTGATGCTCATTTGAAATACATCCCCTTTTTTTCTTAAAGGACAACGTGAAGCAGGGAAGCAGAAGTCAGCAATCTCTTTCCATGGAAATAAGCAAGATTTTGTACATAATACTCATTATGATACCTCTTGATATTTTAAATTAAGGTTCACTTACCCCAAGAGTTTGTAGCAGCTCCCCCTTCCTGAATTTTTGTAATCCATCAATCAGGTGGTAAACAGAGTTGTTCTCTGGCTCAGGTTCCCTCTCCCGTCTTGGGGCACCACCTAGAGAGGCTGCCCCCTGCTCTGCATTGCCAACCTCTTGGGAGGTCACTTGGGTTTGTTCACGACTTTACAGAAAAGAAAACCAAAGGTTCAATGTTCTTTCTAAAAGTACAAACGAACAATATATTTGAGTATAACAGAAAGATTTAATTCTATTCAAAATCAAAATAGCTGTTTACAATAAGTGAAAAGTAGAGAAAATAATAGATTTTATGCAATGTTGCTTGTTTTTTCATTTCCTAACAGACATTGGACCATTGTAGTGGGACTAGACAGTTTGACTGCAAAACAGAAAAGAATATCCTTTCTCATTTTTTACATGCAACAATGTGTAGTGTCTATTCTCCTAAATTACTACTGGACTTGCAAATTCCTGTGGTTTCTGGGAGTAGTCATCTTTGACATGAGAAAAGTGGCTTAAGTCATAGTTTATCAATAATAATAGAATTTGTTTATCTTGCTACTGTATGCCAAGCATGGTTTAGGTGCTCTGAATGTGTTCAGGCAGTAGTAAGGAATTAGTCTACCAACACAAAGGTATACAGTTCAAATCCTCCAGGTGCTCTTCAGGAGAAGATGTGCAATCTCCTCCCATGCGGGTTGTTGTTATTGTTATGTACCTTCGAGTCGCCTCATAGTGACCCTACGTACAGTATCTCTGAACTCTGCCCTATCCTGGGCCAGTCTCAGTGCCTCCAGCACACCTGCTTCCGTCACCCCAGTTACTGTGTCAATCTATCTCATCTGGGGTTTTTCTCTTCTCCACTGTCCCTGCACCTTTCCAAGCATGATATCCTTTTGCAAGTACTGGTCCCTCCTAGCAAAATGCCCTGTGAGGTTTTGAAAACTCCCTGGAGAGTCAGCTATGACTTACTTCCCACTCCCCGGCACGCAGTGACATCCTCCATGCCAGTGATAGTCTTTATAAACCCAGCTTGAATTGGAAGTTGCCTGTTGATATATTGTTTCAGTCCTTTTGAAAGATAATCTTCAGCAAGATTTTTTTTTATTTAGTAAATTTCCCCTTTTTAAATTAATTTTAATGAAAGTTTACAGAAACTTTGGATTTCCATCCATTCATTGTTGCACTTTTCTCCCTGCCCAGCCTCTTCCCTCTCCCCCGCCCCCTCCCCCCCAGTTCGCTCTTCTCTTTGAGAAGTAAAAGAAAAATTCTTTCATTGTTATACAATCTCTCCCCCCAAGTCCACTCCACTCTGCAGCCTTCATTCTGGACTCTGGTCATGACAATAATACCTAATCATATATCCCTTTTAAACAGTTCTCTCCCTCATCTATTTCAATGCAGTACACACAATTTATCCCATCTTTCTCAGTTTCTCCTCAACCCCAGTATCAGTCCCGTTTTACAACAGTGGGGCTATGCAGTGTTTGTCCTTTTGTGACTGAGATATTTCACTCTGCATATTGTCCTCCAGGGTTACCCATTTTGAATAATATTTCATGAGTTCCTTGTTTTTCAGTGTAGCATAGTATTCCATTTGTGAATATACTAGAGCTTCTCTATCCAATCGTTTGTTGATGGGCATTTGTTTCCAACCCTTTGCTATTGTGAACAAAGTCGAGATAAGCATGGGTGTGCATATATCTGCTTGGGTGGCAGTTTCTTTGGGGTATATTCCCAGTGGTGGAATTACTGGGTCAAATAGCATTTCATTTGCATCTTTTTGAGAAAGTGTCATACTGTGTTCCATAGTGGTTGCATTATTTTACACTCCCTCCAACAGCAAATAACAGTTCCAGTTTCTCTACAACCTCTCCAGTATTTGTTGTTTGCCTTCAGCAAGATTTTATTTGCACATTAATTATATTGTTTAGAATTTCCACCTTCTGTTGGATTGCCCTCTTCAGGAATGAGAACAAAATTGGATCTCTCCTGATCAGTAGTCCAGGTGACTGTCTTCCACATTTCTCAGCATAGGCCAGTGAACTCTGGTCAAATCTGGATGAAACACTCCTTGTAGTTAATCTCAGAATAGTTTCTAGTTCTCTTTCCAAAGCCCTTATCACTCCACACTTCAATCACCTGAAGAGTTTGTATTTCCTTATCTCTTCACTGTACCTCTAGCACCAGACTTATTTTCTTTAACTTTGTGGGTTCAAATTTCAGGAATTCACATAATATTGGGGATGAGGTCATTGTCATTAAATGTCCTTTTAAAACTTTGATCCTAGAAGCAAATGATCATCTAAACATTATCTTCTGCTCAATAATGGTCTAGATAAACTAGTAAAAACCAGTTTGCCTTGGGAGTTCAGTTCTTTTGAAAATTATCCATGTCCAGTTAGTTTCACAACACAGAAATCCAAAGTCAGAAGCTGTGTTTTTGAAGGGCAATTGATATCATGTAAATAGTGTCTGGCCTTTTTCCATGGTAATGTGAGGTGGGATGTAAGACTTTAATGTATCTCTCATTTTCAGGATAATTTTGACTTCCAGAGTGCTCCTTAATGACAAGGGTGGAGAAGCTTTGGTTCCTATAATTTAGGCATATGGCTAGAAAGGGCTATTCCTTGGGAGGAAATCATGTTCAAGAAAGACAGCAAAAGAGAGGAAAAGCTTCAGTGAGATGGGCTGATGCGGGGACTGCAGCAAGAGGATCCAGTACGTCAGAGAGGATGAGAATGGTGCAGGATAGGACAGGGTTGAGATCTATTGTTCATAGAGTCTCTATGTACTTGACTCAATGGCACCTAACAACAATGTGAACAAAATGCATATTTAATAAACTTCAACCAATTTCCATTATTGGTTTAATACTACTTTTAGCAGCTTTTATCTAAAGCCTATTTGATAATAAATAAAAAACGAATTTTAGGCCCAGCCTGATGCCATCATGTCTACAGGTGATAATGAAAAATATGTGTGCAAAGATTGAAACTTCTCATATGGAGGAATTAGGCAGAGGTCTGGACTTAGAAAATCTGTTGCAGTCATATTACTTTAACTTGACACTATAATTTCCAATATCAGAAAGAATTTCTAGCTGTCAATTAAGACTATGTTCAATAAAATTTGGTCCACTTACCTTTTTGTTTCCAATTAAAAAGAAGTCATATTTCCTAGGAATTTAACAGTTACATTTACCTCATATTAAGTCTTGGGCTGCTAAACAGAAGGTCAGCAGTTCAACTCCACAGATGCTCCAGGGGTGAAAAATGGGACCATGTCCCGCCACTCATATTTTCAGCTTTGAAACCACGGTGGGTCCCCAGGAGTCTGAATTGACTGATGGTGATGGAATCTTTGGTTTTGCTTTGAATCTTGCCCTTATAATTATTTCCTGGTATTGTTCTAAGTATTTGATTCCATTTAGCTAGTTCCCACAGCATTCATACAAACCAAGTTTATCATTTCTATTTCATAAATTAACAAGTAAAAGAACAGAGAAATTCAGTAACTTACCCAAGACCACACAGTTGGCCACTGGAAGGGCTGGGAATCGGAGCCTAGTAATGACTCTATGGCATCATTAGGCTGTATTTTCCCCTCAAGGCTTCTGCTGAAACTCATTCAATAAACCCCATACCTCAGCAGTGTATAGACCATCTCATTACCAGATCTAAGAGCCAAGTTCAAGGGCAGCCACTTGTATTTATTATATCTACATGTATGTATGCACACATGTAGTGTGTATGTCCAGGTTTTCCCAAAGATTTAACTATTAAATTATGCCCAATATTTTTTAAATTAATTTTAATGAAAGTTTACAGAGACTTAGGGTTTCCAGTCATTCATTATGGCACTTTTTCCCCTATCCACCCCTGCCCCCCCAATTCACTCTTTCACTCTTCTCCGTGAAAAGAAAAAGCAATTTTTTATTTATTTACTTTTTACCAAGGCATCAGAGTGGTGATTAATTCTAAAGCCAAACCATCTTCATGGTAAAAGTTTCCAGCTCCCCACACATGAACCACAAGGAAAACTTTCAGATATCCCAGGGGCCCACTGGGAGGCCACATTAACAGGCAATTTAGAGAAAAAAATTTCTATGCAGATAGGACTTACCTTGGTGACATTAGGCCTTGACAGTCTCCTTCCCTCAATAGCACTTCTGGTCACCAAGTCTGAGGCATTCTGTTCTTCCTTGTGCTCAACGTATCTTTGCCTTGTGTAACACTTTGGGGGAGCCAGTGGAAATGCTTTGCAGGTTGAAGGGTGTGCTAATCACATCTGTGTTTGACACTTCGTGCCTCCTGAAGGCTTAGTAATGATTACAAAACTGATGTCAGGAGGACCGGCTCCCGGCTTTTAGAGATTGCTTAACATGGTCTTTGTACAAGAAGTATGAGTGGAAATCTTGTGTAGGCCTAGAGGAAGAGATTGTGCAAGTGGATATAACAGAGAGCCAATTGCGTGGTTAAAGGCAGTAACTGAAGGAGGAAAAGGGACAAATTCCTCTGACTGTACTAGGATTTTCACAGGTTTGCTGACCCACATGAAATACACACAAAAACACACTAAGGGAAAGCAGAACAGTATCTGGCAGTCGAGTATTGAACTCAAAAAACATTAAGAAATTTCTGCTGTCAGGGACTTCTCCAGAGTGCTGAGGAGCAATGTTATCAGTCTAGAGACTAAGGAGCACCTGATCAAGGCTACGGTGTTTACAGTTACTTGCTATACATCAGAGAGCTGGAGAATGACCAAGGATGACAGAAGAATTGATCCGTTTGAGTTATGATGATGGAGAAGAGTACTGAATATACCACAGACTGCCAAGAGAACAAATAGGTCTGTCCTGGAGAGAGTAAAATCAAGTTGCACCCTGGAGGCAAGAATTTTGAAGCTCTGCCTCACATAATTTGAGAATGTTGCCAGGAGTAACCAGCCTTTTGAAGTAGGACATCATGCTTGAAAAGGGCGGAAGGACAGCACAAGAGAGGAGGACGCTGGATGAGATGGATTGACACAGTAACTGGGGTAATGAAAGGAGGTGTGTCAAAGGCAGTGAGACTGCCTCAGGACAGGGCAGGGTTCAGAGCTATTGTGCAGAGAATCACTCTGAGTCATTGTTGATATAACAGCACATAACAGCAGCAACAGTATACCAAGGAGCTCTGATGGCCTAGTGGTGAGAAGCTGCATTGCAACCCCAAAGGCACATGGTTCGAGCCCACTAGATTCTCTGTGGGAGAAGAATGGGTAATCAATCTCCTCTTTTGCAATTTACTGCCTCTGAAAACCCGCTGGAGAGTCAGCTATGGTTGCTATGGTTCGGTGCTGATTCGATGGCCAACAACAAGAAGTATATTAGGAGCCATGGGGTATGAGTGTCCCCAGTCTGGCTCCCCATCCTGGTGACTTCAGGGACATACACAGGGACAGGGCAAGACAGTGCACATGAGAAGATTACAGTACTTTCTTTTGTCTAGGTGTTCAGGGTGGCTGTGTCCGGGACTAACTGACCAATCTTGCCAAGGTCCCAGAGTTAGCCTGGCACCTTCTGTGCTACTGTTGTTGCTGTTATGTGCTGTCAAATTGCCAGTGACTCATAGGGACCCTATGTACAATAAATAGCTCTGAACCTTGCCCTGTCTTGAGCCAGCTTCACTGACCCCAACACACCTACCCCTATTGCCCCAGTTACTGTATCAATCTATCGACTCCGGGGTCTTCCTCTCCTGTGCTGTCCTTCCAACCTTCCCCTTTCTGAACATTATGTCCTTCTCCAAGCATCAAGATTGGTCCCTCCTGGCCATGTGCCCAAAGTATGTGAGACGGAGAACTAAGTCTCATAAAGACAAATACTATGTAAGACCATTATTATAGAGCATGTACAACGACCCAAGGGCAGGGGGCTTAAATATAGAGTCACACGATTTTGTGAGAGGAAAGAGAGATTGGTAAAGGAAGGGGAAAGAGGCCAGTGTGAACAACAATGTACATGAACTTCACATATAAATCAATATAAAAAGTTAAAAAAATAAAAGAAAAAGAAAAAAATCCTAGCCTCCAAGGAGAAACTTGGTTCAAATCAACCCTCTCCAAGACAGACCTGTTTGTTTCTCGGCAGTCCACAGTATTTGCAAGACTCTTCTCCAGCATCACAGTTTAAAGGTATTGATTCTCCTTCTGTCATCGTTAGCCATTGTGTAGCTCTCTGATGCATAGCAAGTGATTGTGAAGACTATGACCCGGATCAGGTGCACCTTGGTCTCTAGACTGACATCATTGTTCCTCAGTACTCTGGAAAGGTCCTTGGCAGCACATTTACCTAATGCAATTCATCTTTTGATTTCCTGACTGCTGGTGCCAAGAGTGTTGATTGTGGAGCTGGGCTGTGTTACTAGAGAAGAGTCATTCTCAGCTATGGTTTTCAGAGTAGGCAGGCAAACACTAAGAGGCTTCTGGGTTTGTTTGTTTTCCTTGTCGTGTGCCATCAAATCGGATCCACCTGGCACAGGAGGAGATTGCCCCTCATCTCCAGCAGAGCATCTGGTGGATTCGAACCCCGTGCATTCAGGATTGCAGTGCAACCTCTTGCCACTAGGCCCCCAGAGCTCGCCGAGGCTTCCGTTTTTTTAAGACCATTTACCAATTGCTTCTGCAAGGAAACAGAACAGCCTCTTCTCTTTTAAAATATTATAGGAAAGAACAAAACCCTGCCTCCCTGGAGTAATGTGGTTTAGCTACAAGAAGAGAGTGTCCCTGCTGGAGGGCAGCGATCAGGTCAGATCCAACTCGATGCCAACGAGTGAATGAGGCCTTGCCCCGGACGCCTTCATGGAAGCATATCGCCACATCGTTCTACCATGCAGTTAACTTTCAGTTAACAGCCATGTGAGCACTTCAGCCACTGTGCCACCAGGGCTTCTTGATAGAAGAAACTATGACATGAACGTGTTAACCAGCTTTCCCAAAATTATGAAATAGCTGGTAACACCATGTGAAAGACTCGGGCTCTGTGTAAAAGGTACTCACCACCATGCCCTATTTAAACAGATTGTTTTATTGTAATGTCATAGGGAGCTCTGGTGGCCTAGCAGCAAGCAGCTGCACTGCAATCCTAAAGGCATGCAGTTCAAGGCCACCAGCTGCTCTATGGCAGAAGGGTGGGCACCCTCCTCGTTTGTGATTAACTGCCTCTGAAAACCTTCCTGAGGGTCAGCTATGGATTGGTTCTGACTCTGGTACACAACAACAACAGTGTCATGATAAAGCAATTAAACATGCACACTTTTGAAAGCGAACAAAGACATTTTTGCATTGAGATTATGGACATGATTGTGACTACATTTTGCACGGAGCTCGAGTGTTTGACTGTGTGGATCACAACAAGCTCTGGCTGACTCTGGGAAGAATGGGAATCCCAGAACATTTGATTGTGCTAATGTGAAACCTATACTTGGACCAAGAGGCAGTCGTCAAAACAGAGCAGGGAGACACTGGATGGTTCAAAATCAAGAAAGGGTCTGTCAGAGATGTATTTTGTCTCCATACCTTTTCAATCTGTATGCAGAACAGATCATCCAAGACGCTGGGCTGTACAAGGAGGAATGTGGCATCAGGATTGGTGGAAGAGTCATCAACAACTTGCATTATGCAGATGACACAACCCTGCTCCCTGAAACTGAGGAGGACCTGAAGCGCTTGCTGCAGAAGGTCAAGGACTGCAGTCTTCAATATGGATTGAAGCTCAATATCAAGAAAACAAAGATTCTCACCACTGGGCCAATTGGCAGCATCAGTATGGATGGTGAAGAGATTGAGATAGTTAACAGTTTTAGTTTACTTGGCTCCACAGTCAACACTCTTGGTAACAGCAGCCAGGAAATCAGGAGATGAAGTGCATTGGGAAATTCAGCTGTGAGGGACCTCTTAAGAGTACTGAAGTGCAATGACATCAGGCTGGAGACTAAGCTGCACCTGATCCGGGCTATGCATTAGAGAGTTGGACAGTGAATAGGGATGAAATAGAATTGATGCCTTTGAGTTGTGGTGCTGGAGAAGAGTGTTGAATATACCATGGACTGCTAGGAGAACAAACAGGTTTGTACTGGAGAGGGTGAAGCCAGAGTGTTCCCTGGAGTCAAGGATTCTGAAGCTTCATCTGACATACTTTGGGCATGTTGCAAGGAGGGACTGGTCCGTGGAGAGGGACATCATGTTTGGCAGAGTGGAGGGACGGTGCTGGAGAGGAAGACCCTCGATGAGATGGATCAATTCTTAGTGGAGTGGTGGGAATGAATGTGCTTGAGACAGCGAGGTTGGCACAAGATAGAACGGCATTTAGGGCTCTTGTACATAGGGTCACTATGAGTCGCAAACAACTCGATGGCTCATAACAACAACATGTTTGCACACAACAGTACTTGAGGGGGGTGCTTCTTATTTGTCTTAGTGAAGAAATAATCAAGTGACTTTGAAGAGAGGAGTGATAAGAAAATTTTTTTTTAGAAAGTAGAAGGAAAAACAACAATTGAAGGAACATTGGAAGAGATATGAGGACAGAGAGGAGACCCTTTGTGTGCTTTAAAGTAGAACAGTGCTCCATCCAATTGTCATGGTTGTTGCCTTTCTGAAGCAGATCATGTGGCAGTTCTGAACCTCTGAGGAAGTTTGAACTTCCAACCTCTCAGTTAGCAGCCAATTCTTTAACTGTTCACACCACTACGAGCCTCTTAGAGGAACTGATGGTGACGCCTGTCAATCAAGGTCAAGCCTGCTCTGAGAAGCAGAAGAATTCTAGGCTGGATGACCTCAACCTGTTCTCTCAAAGGTGGAAGAATCATCTACGGATTGTTTCACAGAGGAAAGAACATCCACTCAGTCCTTCATATGAGAGTTTATTAAAAAAAAATAAAAAGGTGCATTTGAAGGCCGAGAGATCCCAGGCCGTACAAGTGAGAATCACTTCCGGACAGTCTTTAAAGAGAACAATTATAGTTCAGGGGAAAAGATATAATACAGTCATTTGATTGGTTGGTCTTGGGCTGTGGTAATAAAGAGGGTGAGGAATGGGCTTTGATTGGACAGTTAGGTACAGAGCTTTATAGGGACTGGTTTCAGGGACTAA